GTCGTCGGAAGGAAGTCGCTGTACTTTGCGCTCTTCGGGGGCGAGGAGGAGGGGCTCTGGGGATCTGACGCCTTCGCGGAGGCCCTGAGGCGTCTCGGAGGAGTTCCGCTCGGGGTCGCGAACACGAGCGAGCCGTCCAGGTCCCAGCTGGTTTTTTTTGGGGAATCTGTACGGGGCTCCTTAAAAGAACTTCATTTTGCAACCATTTGAAACGTGTGGCTTTTTCCAGAATAGAGGGGAACCACCATTGACAAGTTGCAATGTTCAGGTGTATAATGTAAGGATCCCTGCTGAGGATTCATTCCCACACCCTAGGTCATGTTCGACTCAGCACCAGCAAGAGGGGCATGGGTCAAAGATTGGGTAACCCCAAAATGGGTTAGACCTACCAGGGAAGGTTTTGTCCAGATGCAAGTATGAAAAGTAACATATGGTGGACACAATGAGACGAGGAAAGGACAAGTCAAGTCATATGAATCAATCGCTTGAGCCGAGACAACCCCAAATCCACATAGCCCATCCATAGGCCTTATATAGGGATGGTTTTTGAGCAATGTGCCCCGCATAACCCATGAATAGCCCATGTATAGCCACTAGTTTTGGGGTATGCAAGTTGGCCCTTGGCAACCATTTGCATAACAGCCTGGCACCATGTTTTTATTGTAATATTTTCTCTAAACATATAATTTGATATTGCGCTACCAGCACAGCCGGCGAAACTGGTGGGAGGAAGCTTCAATCATATAAATACTATAGTCCTCTTTTATTTCGTTTATTCATTCTGATTATCTTTCGCTTTCTCTGTCTTTCTTTCTTTCTTTCTTTCTTTCTTTCTTTCTTTCTTTCTTTCTTTCTTTCTTTCTTTCTTTCTTTCTCTCTTTTCCTCTCTCTCTCTCTCTCGCTCTTTCTTTCGCTCTCTCTCTCTCTCTCTGTCTTTCTCTCTTTCTCTCTCTCTCTCTCTCTCTCTCTTTCTCTTTCTCTCTCTCTCTTTCTCTCTCTCTCTCTCTTTCACTTTCTCTTTCTCTTTCTCTTTCTCTTTCTCTTTCTCTTTCTCTTTCTCTTTCTCTTTCTCTTTCTCTTTCTCTTATCTAATCTAATTTCATCTATCTATCTATCTATCTATCTCTCTCTCTCTCTCTATATGTATCGATCTATCTAATCTAGTCTAGTCTAGTCTAGTCTATTCTAATCTAATCTAATTTCATCTTTCTATCTATCCCACTGTCAATCTCTTCATCTGTCTGCCTATCTAATGTATCTAACCTATTCAATCTTTCAATTCTACCAATCTTTTTCTTTATCTATCCATTTATCTATCTATCTATCTATCTATCTAATCTTTCTATTCTATCTATCCAATCTATTTAATCTATCTAACCTATTTAATCTATCTAATCTGTCTAACTTATGTAATGCATCTAGCCTCTCCAATCTCCAGTTTATCCCTTTATCTGTCTTTCGTCTTTCTACTGTCCTACCGATCTATGTCCTTCTATCAATCCATCTGTTTAATTGTCCATCTATCTTTTTGTATTCATCTATCTACCTACCTATCAGCGAAAGTGCTGCGCCTGCCACGAAATCTGTGCCGGACCTTGCGAAAGTGCTGCACCTGCCACTACCCGAGCTTGTGAAATGCGAACATGATTTTGCGGAAGTGCTGCGCCTGCCACGCAATCTGTACCTGACCTTGCGAAAGCGTTGCACACCACGTTCACTTGCGCACACTGCAGGTCTTACTTGCGCACACCCCCAAGTGGGACAGGTGGGATGGGGAGATGGGGGGGGTGATCACTGGTGGAGGGGGAGGCGATAAGTTTTGCTGTCTCCTACCACAGAAATTAGGTTTAGTTATCGGTCAACGTTTGGTAACATTGGACATCCTGCCCTGGGCGAAAATGAAGTTGGTCTACTTTGTTTGATCTCAAGAGGGGGGTACACGGGGCGATCCAAGAGGGGGGTGCACGGGGCGATCCAAGAGGGGGGAGTCCGGATTACATTTTGGGATGCACAGTGACGCCAACAAATCCAATCATGAAGAAGTGCTGGATTCCTTGAGAGCATCACCCATATGATTTGGCTTCCGGTCAGGGTCAGTTTGCGGCATTTTGTGCTGCCTGGGTGGGTTTTGGGGTGGGTTGGGTTCGTGTAGGGTGGGTTTGGGGTGTTGAAAGGTGGGCTTCGGGTGTTTTTCGGGTGAGGTGAAATTGAATTGGGGCAGGTTTACGGCCCTTGGCTGTTGAGTTGGATCTTTAACTTCAACTTTCGGAGGAAAATGTGTGTATCCCAGAAACAATTGGACTTCTTGTGCAGCGGGCAATCGCCAGATAGGGTCGGTTGGAACATCCGAGGTCCGAGAACTCGTCCAACCCGCTGCCGCCCAAGTGCCGGCCAAGCGCTGGGGGGAGGCACGCGGCGATCACCATGGACATGATCGGGTGGAGGACAGAAGGGCCGGGAGGCGTGTGGGCGGAGGTCCTGACATGTTGATTCGGGTCTCCAAAACATAGCAGGGTTCCGACAAGAGTTTCCGTTTTGATTGCTGGGCGTGGGAGTTCTGGATGGCCTTGTAAGACTATGACACACAAATGCCCATGTCCCCTTGAAATTGGCGCTCGAAGTGCCTTACGCTTTTTGTGGAACGAGAAAAACAAAGACAGCGTTCAGCAGTCGGACGTCCGCATTTTTTCCCAGGTGATGTTTGAGGCGACTTCCAGTGGGACTCTGCTGCTCTGCTTGGCCGTTTTAGGGCCTTTTGTGTTTGGTGGGCTCTGTCGAAAGGGCAGAGTGAGTTGATGCAGTTTGAGTCTTACTACTGAAATTGACACATCTCCACACGATCTTATGTTATACATTTGAACACACACGTGTGTGTGTGTGTGTGTGTGTGGGTGGCACTCGAAATGGGCTCTTGCCTCGGGCTAGAATGTTGGCAAACGCTTCGTATGGTTTCCTAGTGAACCAAGGCTCAAGTTTCCACCACCTCCGGAGCGGGTCTTTGGAGCAATCCTATTGATGTTGTCCAGCGCCAGGTCGATCGCCTTGACCTCTTTTTGTTGCAAGCCCTTTTCAGAACCCTTCTAAGAAGCCCCTGAAAAGCCTAAACCTGCTCCTAGGCACCGTTCCTCCAACCCCGTCGGCCCCCCCAACACAGCTCCAGTTTTGCGTCCTGTTCCGAACGAGAACGGAGGAACCCAAGGTTCCCGGCGGACACGGTGACCATGGAGACCAAGCGGTGGGCCTCCGGATTCTTCCCGCTGTTGGCGCAGTCCAACAATGTGAACAACCGAGGGAACCTGATCCTTTGGCCACGCTAAGGGGAGGAGGGCCCTCCGGTGGGAGCTCTCGTAACTTTAGTGTGGCCTTTGTGGCTTCTTTTCAAAGAGCCAGGACAACCGCAGCCATTTTGGGGGGGCCCGGATCCCTAGTTTGACACATAGGAGCAACAGGTGTTGTGATGGGAGAGGGTATATCTCACAGCACATGGATTCCTTCGACCAATTCTGGTCAACCTAACTGTAGAGTCCAAGGAATATCGAAAATGAGGTGCGTTCGGCTGGGAGGGATGGTATTCGCATGAGGAAGCTCCTCTACAGCCTCAAACCCTATGGCTCGGACCACGAGAGCTTCCTGAATCGGGGGATGCCGGCGATCCTCCTCATCGACAACGACGGGGATGCCGAGGCATACCCCTGCTACCACAAGGCCCAGCTTGACAGATCAGCGATTATCCCTCTGCGCCCGGCAAAATGGGTATGCGTTGAGCATGTAAAAGTGGCGACTGTGAGCCTTTGCCCCTCAAAACCAACCTCAAACGGTGCTCTCAACAAAGGCACTTAAATTCAGTCCCTTGGAACTTCTTTGGAGCCTGCCCTCTTTGTACATCAAGCCGACCAGGAAATGGGATGGCTGCCGACTTCGTGCAGTTTTGAAGCGAAGCCACAAAGGATCCAAAGCTCATGCTTTGGGGATTTGTTTGCCTGGAATAGCTTCCCCATTCTTTCCAGGGATCCTTCTTTCTAGAAAGCCACTAAAAAAACCCTGGGGAAATGGCTGGTTTTTGAAAAGAACGATGGCTGAAAAGAATGGAAAAGGAATCAACCCCTAGCAAAGCGGCAGAAAGCCGCTCCAAGGCCTGCGACGAGAAGTCGAACGTAGACGCCCGCCTGGCCACCGAGATCTGCAAGATGAACCTGGGCGCTTTCCTGCGCATTGCGCGGGTCCAGTGAGCTGCATTGGGAGCAGAACAACATACACGAAAGGCTATGGACAATAAACCGCCAGAGGATATGCATATATATATATATATATATGGGCTATAACTTCATCCAAAAAAGGGGACAAAAAGAAAGAGCCCAGCATTTTACCTCGAACAAGGAGGGTACTCTCATAATAACAGTCCCACCCCCCCAATAGGAGGCCGAGGGGGGCAGTGTTTGAGGGGATCCGAATCTCTTTGGGGGAGTTGCAACCCTCGCGGCCCATTTTCCCGGTGAGCTTGGTTGTGCTAAATAAAGACAAGGTGTGTATGCCATGATTTTGGTTGGGCAAAATTCAGTGCCAGCTCACAAAAAGGTGAAGTCAGGCTGGAATGCTTAAGCCTGGTGTCAAAATAGGGGAACCCCCAACAATGTGTCCCAGACGGGTACCCTTCAGAAAATGAGCCGCACCCAAATACGCGAGCCAAATCTGCGCGCAGGGCCAAAGAAGTTTCTGACTCGAGCGGTTTTCACAGCGCGGAAAGCCGCCGAAGCGCAGCGTTGTGGTGTTTCGGAGAGCGAGCAAAGAGCGTGATGCGAACGGTGCTCCTTGTTTTCCTTTCTCCAAAACTTGGTTGACGCATTGGGTATGTGTCGTAGGAATTTGGCTGGCTTTTGACCAACCCAATAAAGGCCACACCCACCCGTCGGAGAGGCGAATTTGAGTTTCCTCCTGAAGGGTGCTGCTTTTGCGACCATTGGAGCCCGCGCAAGAAAAGAGAAGCCCGACGTGCCGGAAAGGAGGGTGCCCTCCAGACGCAGCTCAACCAGATTGAGGCTCAGCGCAGCTCCCAGCATACTCCAGACTACCATGGAACTTAAACAGGGGTCCGATCTCAACCGGAGGTTCCTCTACGGATGGTTTGTTGGGTTCCATGTTCATTCGTAGCGTGATATGGGTATGTGTCAAATTCGAGGTACCGCCAAAATTAGGGGCACCGACTCTGATGACACTTGCCTTGCTTACGGCGATGTACTGTGCATTTTTTTTTTTGTCAATGGTTTAGAGTTGCTAGGGGTACAGGGGTACAAGAGTCCATGACCTCGACTCAATTTCCCCCAAGCATCCAGCTGCTTGTGGCATTCATTCATCTCCTGGTGGCTAAGGCTGAAAGTCACCACCGATGCGACTGAGCAGGCGGGTGACTAGCCAGCGGCACCCTGAGCAAGTTGGGTGGGGGATTGTTAAAGGGAAACACCCCTAGTTTCTGACTTTTTTATACCCGCTAGGCAAAATCATTGGCAAATCCAAAGTGGTTGACATGAACCCCTGCCGCATTTTGATGTCCACCAAGGGGTCTGTGCAAATTTTCCACCGGTCCACCCATAGGAATCTGGGGTTTTGTGCGGCTCATGGATGGGGACAACGACGAGTCTCGGAGGCGAAGCGTTTGGGGACTCTGTTCTTGCCATGAGTTCTTTTGGGGCCGAAGATTTTGACTGCTCGCGGTTGTCAAAGTCAGAAACCGGGGGTTTTGGGTTGCTCCCAGCCGTTAAAAGAGGAGCACGCCAACGGTGCCCAAAAAAGTTGCAAACCCTTTCCCTCCCTATACTTGGCAAAACAAAATTTCCCTTTCCGAACGTTTCCATTTCCATTTTTCCCCTTTTTTCGTCCAAAGCCGCACTTTGGCGGTGTTCTTTCCAGCTTTCCCCCCATCAACCCCCCCACACGCCAGGCGAAGGGCGAGCTGCGGAGCTCCAAGGCCCAGCTCGAGAGCCTCAACGTCAAGGCGAGTCGAGCGAGCGATTCGGCGGTTCTCACTTTGCTGGGCCACGCGGTGTGACCCTACTTAGAGGTTCAACCCACTTGGCAACTAATATAACTGTAAAACCCCTACTTGGAGGTTCAACCCACTTGGGAAGTATTATGATCTTGTGACTCCTACTTGGGGGTACCCGCTTAAGTAGGTGCCATGTTACTTGTTACTGGAAGGGTACCAGATGCGATGCCGCAGGGAGGGAGGATCATGTCTAGCCATGGTTTAATGTTGTCACCATCTAGGCACCATAAAGCCGCTCCTTCGTCCAAAACATGTTCAGGGGGAATTCCGCGTTTCTCAAACTCAAGCCCATCCGGGTGCGTGGTATCCTCTTAATTTTCCTGAACAGGCATGTGGGGGGAACTGCCATACTCCCCCAGCATGATGGACACATCTTCGGGTTTGGCGTTTGTTTAGTGGGGTTGGTAGGTTTGGCAGTGAGAAAGGCTCCAGGTGTGAGAAAATTAGCCCACCCGGGACCCGGAAGGTCCCTTCTTAGCCCTCTTGTCAGATGCTGCTCAGAACCATCTCGTCCAAATCCATGTATTTGAAGGTGGGATTCCGTAAGTGAGTGCAGCATTTGCTTAGGTGAAGACTAGGTTTTGAATATGACGTTGAGAGACTTGCGCGCTCGCAGTGTCCATGAACGTGACAGAAATTGTCTCGGGTGCCCCAAAGAGCTCCACAGGGACCTCCATGAGCACAGGGAAACTAACAAGCTGTGAGCCACTTGAGACTTTGAGGGATTAATGAGGTTTCTCAAAGCTCCAGGCTGGCTCCAGTGGAAGCAAAGAAAACGCACTCCTACGGGAAACCAGGACCCCAAAGCGCTGAGCTGGTGGCTTGCATTGGTTTGAACCGGAATGCACACCTCCACACCATGCCAAACTACTTCGAGGGAATCTGATTTCAAGCAGGTTTAAACCTTAGTGGGAGGGTTTTGAACCCGAAACCACTGGACCCTTTTCTCTGGCAGCTTCCTCCCTTGTCTTTCACGCCTAAAGGCGCCCCGGCCAATTGGCGTCCGCCAGAAGCGCGCCGGCCAGGTGGGTGAGCTGGACAAGGCGCTGCAGACGGCGCGCACCAAGGAGCAGCAGCTCTCCCAGCAGCTCCAGGAGCGCTCGGACCGATCCGATTCGTTCCGATTTTTCCGCTACCCGAGAAAAGGGGGGGAAAGGGACGGGGCGGGGCAGTCCCAGTGGAGAGCGTCCTTGGGCGACTTCCCCGGCAATTTCAGTGGCCATTAGGGTCCAGTGGTCCTCGACCTTGTTCTGCCAGAGCTTGCGCTGTACATATTCTCGTTTGAAGGGGACGGGGCGGGGCGCTTTTTGGGGAGGGGCCCGCACTTTTTGGGGCTTGGAGTTTTGGAGGTGCCCGACCAAAATGAGGCGCTGGCTTGTGGCCTCAGAAATCCAGAAGGTTAGGGGAGGGGCGGAGGGAAAACTTGGCCTTTTGAGCCGGAGAGGCTTGGGTTGGGCTCGAAATAGGGGAACCCCACAAACGAGGTGGCCTTCCTTTGGTCTCCCTTTGAAGAGAGAGAGACTCCATCTAACTTTGGCCAAGAAGAGAAATCAACCCAGTCTCAGGGGAAGTCTCGTTGGAGCCCGGCACAAGTTCTGAAAGAGTTGTTCATAGGGTTGTGGGATACTTTGAAACCAAGAAACCGGCCCTCTAATTCTCAAATTGACGTTCATGTCATGGTGAGATTCATGTCATGGTGAGATCATATATCCCCAAGGGAGTGGTCATCGTCATGGTGATGTATCCGCAAGGGAGAGGGCGACGCGGGCCCTTTGGGACGCGGGCCCTTTGGGACGCGGGCAGGCGGCGTCGGTGGAAGTGAAGCGCCTGCAGAGCGAGCAGAAGGTCCTCGAGGAGCCACTGGCGAGCAGTTTTCACAATGGGACTCCTTCACTGTTGTTGGTGTGTTTTTAGATGTTAGCTTTTTTGGTTCTGTTCACTTTTTTTTTTTTTTTTGGGGGGGTTCTATTCACTTTAGGTTAGCTTTTTTTTGGTTTCTGTTCATTTTTGGCAGGGAGCTGCAAAAAACCAGTCAGCTATTGCCTATGATACCAAGGCTTGGAACGGATTCCGAATCCCTTGGGACCTCGGGGGTTAGGAAAAGGCACACGGCTATTACGTTTTTTTTTTTGGGGGGGGATGTGCCCCCTGAGACGGATTTGGGTTTTCATGTTGGTGTCCGTTGAAACAAAGGTGGAACGGGGTACCCTCAAAGTAGACGGCACGTTTTGTTTTCATTTCAGTCATGAACTTTGCTCGAAGGGAATTCTTGCCATCTTGAACATGTAGGAGCTAGGTGTGTATTTTTGAGGTTACCACGTTTTTGCTGGCTTTAAAGGGACACCAAAAGGAACACGTTTTCAGGGGAGAAAGTTGTGTGTCTTGAAACAGGCCCCCCCCCAACAAAAAAGGCATTGTTTTTTGTTTTTTGTTTTTTTCCCCATTCAAACGAACAACAACAACTCCAAAACGACGAGCCAACCCTGACAGCTTCGCCAGCATTTGCTCTGTCGCCAGGCGGACATCTCGGACGCTCTGACGCGCGAGAGGAACCTGGCGGTGATGCTGGCGCAGGTAGGGGACTAGCCCCAGTTGCCTCAGTGACCATGGTCATAGCCTTGTGAGAATCCAATCAAGATCACTGTAGGGTTCCTTGTTTTAGATCTGGAGCAAGCATTCTGTGATACCACTCCTTTGGAGGAGACCCCCCAATTTTTGTGCCGCATTGCTCTCTTTCCAAGCATGGACGTGGCCGTTTGGGCCTCCCCCAAAAGAAAAGCTCTCGTCACCCCTCCAATCGTTAGCTTCCGTGAGCTCGCCAGAAGCTCATCTGCGTGGCTTTCAACCACCTGAGAGATTTTGCTGGGAAGGACTTCCCGGCTGTCAGAAGCTGCAAGTCCCACACCAGACAGCACAAGCCTTTTGCCCACAGGCGCCGAGCCAAGCGGGGCGCCTTTAACGGGTTCCCCGATGACCAAGCTTTGTGGCTGACCCCTTTGGGTTCTGCTTGGCGGAGGTGCAACCACCCCAAGAGACTGTCCAACGATTCTTCCGATCCCGCGCTCTGCTGGCTTTCCCATGAAATTTCGAGTGTACAGCTTGCACACCGATGGAGATAGGTTTTTGTGCCGGTCACAATGTTGACACAGTTGCTTTGCATTCTTACAATGTCCTTTCTTGGGTTTCGAAGCCATTTTGGAGGCAAAGTATGTTAGTTGACAAGCCCATTCGGGTTTCCAACCGCCCTTTTGAGTGGTGTCGGACGCCCGTTTTTGGGTTCCACATCCCACTCGAAGAACCCGACATGGGCACGCATTTTGGAGGCTGCCGCCCATTTGGAGCCCAGCCCAACATGGGCAACACCGGGAAAAAAACAAAAACTTCATCCAACACAGGCAACGAAGCCTGGCCAGGTGCAGAGCAAGAACCAGTTCCTGGAGGACCGGCTCCCGAAGATGGAGGAAGAGAACAAGCCCTTCGGCCCGGTTTTTTTTTGAGCCGCGCGGCGGTTTTTGGCGGCGGTTTGGCTCGTGTTTGCTCGGAAAGACACTAGGTCCCCCAGTAGTGCCCTTTTACCGTTTCTTTTTCGGGGGGAGGGGTCCCCTACTAAAATAGACTACAGAAAAAAGGGTACCCTTGTTCTAACCTCTCTACCAGATGGGCACCTTCTCTCTCCCAACTCTACTTGCATGCCTGCCTGTGAGTTTTTCTTCCTTGGTCGGCGGACACTTGACGTACGCACGCTTTAACTCCTCTGGTTTGCCGCTGGGTTAGTTGGGATCTTGGTGTTGGCATATTTGGCAAAAGGGTCCGTATCTCTGTCTTCCTTCCTTCCATCCATCCATCCATCCATCCATCCATCCATCCATCCATCCATCCATCCATCCATCCATCCATCCATCCATCCATCCATCCATCCATCCATCCATCCATCCATCCATCCATCCATCCATCCATCCATCCATCCATCCATCCATCCATCCATCCATCCATCCATCCATTATGTGTTTTCCATTTTTTCTTTAAGTGTTTATTTTTTGCTCTCTCTCCCTCTCTATCTCTTCATTTTTCTTGGTCAATTGCTGTATCATTGCAAACGAGAAGGGCTTGGTGCTTTGTTGATAACAAGACTATCATGGCAATCAGAATGAAGATCTTATGTGGCCATGTCTTACGTGGCTCATGATGGCTCATGGCGTTTGAGGAAAGAACCCCATGCGGCACAAATTGGTGGTTGACATTGGGGTTTCCAGTTTCAGCCACAAGAAAGCTGCCTTGGGTTTGTCTCGCGTGAAGCAACTCAGAAATGACAAGCCCTCCAAAAATAGAAACCCCCCGTTCTTGGATGTTCAACCCACGTCCCAGAAAAGGGAACTCACCCTGCTCTCGGAAGAGCCATGACGAGATCACGTACTGAGTGGATTGAACATCCAAGTATCTGGGATACTTTCAGGGGTATATGCCACATCAAGTGTGGCTAATATGCCTTCCCCGCCATCTTAAGCCCCCTGGGCTTCGGTGGACACCGGAAGGACAGAAATCCAAACAGCGCACCGAGGAAGCTGATCCGCCGCGTGAACCTCCTAGAGAAGGTGGCCCAGAACGAGCAGATCTACTCTTCCAAGCTCTCGGAGCGAGCGGCCCACGCCATCGAAGAAGTTCTGGTGCTGTTTTGTCAGGGCTCCGGAAAAAACAGACATCTCCATGTTGCCGGCCCATTTGAAACATGTGGCTTTTTCAACACCAAAATAAAGGGAAAACCCACCACTTAGAAGTTGCCATGTTCAGGTGTATAATGTAAGGGTTCCTGTTTGTGTTTTCCAGGGCAACTTTTTTTGTGCTGGCGTTCAAAGGCAACTGAAAGGTTCAATGGCAACTGAAAGGAACAGACTATCTCATTTTTTTGGGGGGATTGGGGGATTCCCTCATTCAGAGACAAACGCCCGCACGTGTGCATGCATGGATACATTCATACACATACATGCACAGAGGTGCAAAAAGGTTGTGAAGAGAACCTGTCCTCAACCACCCCGGGTGGGTTGTTTACCGCCTCGACTCGGGCGAGAAAAACTCGTGCCTTGAGCGAGGAGTCGCACTCGGAGAACGAGAGATTGGCCAAGGAGCTGCAGCAATTGGAGGCGCGCAACGCGAATTCTTGCCTGTGGAGCTTGCGTGGACCGGTGTCTCAGGAAAACCTCCGTTCCTGAGTTCCCGGGCCTGAAACAAGTTTGGGTTTGGACCATCTCAGGGGTAAAAGCTTAGACTTCTGGGCAATCCACGGGAAGTGAGTTTCTTTTTGTCCCCTGTCCAGGTTTTCCACCTGGAGGCCTGAAACAACACTGGGAGCCACACATGTTCGGGAAAGCGGGACCGCTTTCCTCAAGTGGTGCTTGGAAGGGAGGGAACAAAACTGGGGAGGGGGGGGGGGGATTGTGGCCATGGTGGGATCACCTTTATACGTAAGTTAATTGGGAAAACCCAGAAACCCAGAAGAAGAACATGAGTCTTTTTTGTGCAGCCCCGCCGGTTGGGTGCTTGGGTTCTCTGAGAGGGTTTCCACTACCCAAACAAACCACTTCGCAGGGAAGTTGCGGGTAGAGGCGCATATACATCTTATACATACAAGGGTTTCCATGGTGGTTTTCTCAGAGTTTCGATTTTGGGGGCGTAATGGCAACACTTTGAAAGAACCGCATTTTCCAAGCTGGAAGCCCTGATGATCAATTCCTCCGTGATGGGGAAACAGATGGGGACAGATAGTTTTCCCACTCACCGCGAAGCTGTTCCAAACAAAAATCCGGTTTTCAAACTTCCGCCCAACAAGATTTCGCTGCAGCGGTGCCATGGCCAAGGAAAGGAGAGCAGGGTTGTTCCGATGACCTCAACACGGTTTGGGTAGAAGATTGGTATCGGGGTTCCTAGATCCAAAGTGGCCAAACCACGTTTGAGTAGATTGGTAGAAGCATAAGTGTCCTTTGTAGGTTAGTTTGATTAGACACAGATGGCATTGGTTAAGATAGGCTTCATGCCCCAGACAAACCCATGTATTTTGACCAACACACACGCACACACACACACACACACACTTATGTGGGTAAAAAGCGGGCTCTCTCGCTTTCCTGTGACCAACTTTCTGACTGGTCTGAAACCGAATGGGTGGCGGGGTGCCGCCAATGAGCCACGGCCTGGGCAGGGGCAAACAAGTCGCTCATGGGAAGTTCCCTGTTGGATTCATAGTGGGGTTTCTTCCATTTGGGGGGGGTTGGGGTGGGGGGGTGGGGTGGGGTGGGGGGGTGGGGGGGATGGGGGAGAATCCCTTGACTTCTTTCAGTCGGAAACACCCAGACCGAGGGTTTCACCCAGACCTGCAGAGAGCGACGTCGAGCAGGCGAACCTGTCGGCGAAGGACAAGGAGACCTCAAAGCTTGCGAGCGACCTCCGCGTCTTCCAGGACGTTGCGCCACTTTTGGGGCGCAGCACGCGGCAACAAGGGAACACCTTTGCGAGTTGGCCGTGGGTCAAAGCCAATGGGATACCATTTCGGTTGGTAGGTGAGTGAATTCACCACCCATTTTAGAACCGATTCTTGTGGGGATTGGGATGTTCACTAGGGGTACGGGATTTGACCCATGGCCGTTGTGAGTGCCGATTGGGTTCCTTCTAAAGTGCTTTCGGGTTGGACATCAGGGTCGTTTCCTGTGCTTGTGCCTTTTCCCTCTTGCGGAACCTCCTGCTAACACTAAATCTTCGACCCCCCCTTGATCAACAACCAAAAAATGAGTGCCCTTTGCTTTCTCCACGGGTGTGAAACTCTTTTAAGGGGACCTCTCAAAATCCTTAGGTTGCCCTTTTCCTTAGGTTGCCCTTTTAAAGCTACAACCCAAAACGGGTCCCAACTAAAAAAACGACGCGCCACCCCCGAGAAGAGGAGAAGACTCGCGCGGCCACGGTGCAAGCTCAGACCTTCGAAGCCAAGGCGTGTGGACACGAGTCGATTTTGCAGACCCCAAAAAGCCAAGACCCTAAAAGAGGCGACCCTGGGTGTCCATCATACGTGGTATCCCCCATATGTATATATATATATATATATAATATATATATATACATATATGTACATGGAAGAAAGCACAAAAACTGGTGGTTTGGTGGTTGTGGTTGCGATTCAGATCGACAAACTTGCCCGGACAGGTCTGAACACCCACTAAACCGACAACCCTCCCCCCCCCCCGCCCCGCCCGTATCACTAAACTGGGTTGATTAATCCAGGGTCAACATTCCCCCTCTGAACAAAAGGGCGGTGTGTGTTGGTTTGCCTTTTGTGGAGATTTGTTTGTGCCATTCTCTTTTTTCGAGGGCGCGTTTTTGTTGTTGTTGGGTGTGTGTGTGGTTTTAGAGGGAAACCAAGAGGAAGCCACTTGCTTTGGGGGTCCCGCGATTTTGGCACATGCTCTTGTTCCTCCCCAAATTGACATGGCGCGGTTGTACATGCTTTCCGGTTAATTTTTTGATTCCAGCAATACAAATTTTGTTGTTTTCTTGTTTTCGAGGCGACATGGAGGATCGCACATAACAAGAGCTCACATCAAGCGCGTGCCATTCTTCAACAGCAGCTGCTTTTTTCAGCAGAGGTCCTCGTTTTGCAGCTTGGGCGACTGCTTTCTGTCAGGTGAATAACCCCTCGAAGCCTCTGTTTCGGTGGTTCTTTCAGGTTTCTAGACACGGTCGGATAAACGGACTCCTTTCCCAGAAGTTTCACAGAGCAAGCAACTCTTTTGTTTTCTTTTCGCCACCCAAACTATTTTATCATATTTGGTTTAGGTTTCTTTCACCCCAAAATGGTTTCCCCCATTTGGTTTAGGTTTGGATGTATAAAAGTCCACCAACTCCCGCAAGTTTGAGAAATCTTCACGTGAAGGGATTGGCCTCACTGGCCAAAATCTGGCAGTTACTCTATGAATGCTGGGATCACCAATCTCTGGTGGCGTGGAGTTCCCCTTCCGATCTGGGTAAGCCTTTTCCCCCAGCCTGGTATCCCTTCCCCAGATCGGTTGAGAGAGAGAGAGTGAGAGAGAGAGAGAGCCCCAGTAGAGAAAAACAGAGCAACATAGGGTCTATGTTGCAACCGTAGAATATTGGGTTGTTTCGGGTATGTGGCAACATAGAGGGACCCCAGAACGGTGGTTGTACTGGAAACCAAAAAACACTCGCAAATCTTCGTTTTTTTTTTTTTTTGAATTCTTGTTTTCCTCATAAGCAATAGACACTTTGTCCTGTAAACCACCCTAAACCGCCCCAAAACCTCCACAGGTTGTCAAGGGCTCCCTTTTTGGTTTACACTGGGATTTTGGGCCCTGTGGCGGTTTGCCTCTTGGTGACCAGTTTAAGACATACCCATTCTTAAAGGGAAACCAAAGCCCCCCCCCGCCCCCGCCACAAATTTTGGGGTCCACATCCCTTTTTGACGGAATCCAAGGGCAAAAAACTGAGAATGGCATATGCCATTTTGCAGTGTCTTTTGTTAGCGGACCCCCAAAATGAAGCAACAGTTGTTTACCATTCGTTTCCCTTTCACACTCTATCCCAAAGAAGGTACCATCAACAAAACCGACACTCCCTTCCTCAATTTTGGGGTCCACAATTTTCTTTGGCAGAAGCTCAGAGGCAACTCTGAAGAAGCGCTGGCCTGGCGTTGTTTTTACTCAAAAGTTGATCAAACTCCTGGCGGTTTCCATTGAACCGAGCGCCACTTTTAGAGGTTCCAAAACGGGAAACAGCTGGGACACCCTTGCAGAGCACCCATTTTGGGTTCAACTTCAACCAGTTTTGACCCCCATTTCTTCGGAAGCTGGGGGATTCTCTTGCAACCTCCACTCAGCCGGTCGAAGAAAGGCCACCGGAGGGGGCAACTCCTCTCTCCCCAAGAACTCCAAAAAAAGCCGACCGGGGTTCTGGGATCACTCGGAATTGGTTTCTCCAACCACTTCTGTGATAGTTGGAATCCCCCTTAACAACATAGTCCTTGCAAAGGTTTTGCTGTTGTGTCGCAACAGTGGATTCCATTCCCCACAGCCCCGACAAGCGACCGAGAGCGGAGAAGCCGCGCCAGAGCCGAGGCCCAGGAGTTGGCGCGGGCCGCGGAGTCGCGCACCGCCACCATCGAGGCGGAGATCGCGGAGGCGCGAACGGGCGGAGGGCGGAAAGGGCGCACGGGCGGTCGGGGCCGAGCTTTGCCGTTCTTTTTTTTTAGTTTGGGGGGAGGGGAGGGGAGGGGAGGGGAGGATCGTGTGTTGTTTTTGTTTTCTCAAGTCTTTCTGTTGTTTGTGTTCTTGATCTCGTTTATTTATTTTTGTTTGGGGGGGATTTTGGAGATGTTCGGTTTGCGAGGTTGGAGTTTGGAAGAGTTTGTTATGTTTGAGGACACGGGCGTTCGGTCGGGTGGATTTCTTCGTGATCCATTCGCTTGGAGGTCGGAACGCAGCCATGTGCTTCAAAGTTCAAGGGTACCGTCGCCGCCATGATTTCCCCAAGCAAATATGGCAAACATTGGCAGATGATGTACCCCCCAAAGCCGCGAGTTTTTTTTAGAATCTCCGTTCATTTGGGTTTGAGATGCTATTCTGATTGGACCCCAACTAGGGGAAACCGACATTCCCAATTGGTACTATAAGGGCCTAAATAAGTAGACATTAGAATGGGATTGAACACCATATCTAGGTGCAACCTACTAATCATTCCGCCCCTCACAAATTAACCAATGGATTGTACTTGACAGCCAAACAATCAGATGTAAACTATTCATCACTTAGCCCCTGAACAATGAATTCCCAATGAAACACGTAAACTATTAGCTATATCATGAATACGGCCCCATATATATATATATATACATACATACATACATACATACATACATACATACATACATACATACATACATACATACATACATACATACATACATACATACATACATACATACATACATACATACATACATACATACATACATACATACATACATACATACATACATACATACATACATACATACATACATACATACATACATACATACATACATACATACATACATACATACATACATACATACATACATACATACATACATACATACATACATACATACATACATACATACATACATACATACATACATACATACATACATACATACATACATACATACATACATACATACATACATACATACATACATACATACATACATACATACATACATACATACATACATACATACATACATACATACATACATACATACATACATACATACATACATACATACATACATACATACATACATACATACATACATACATACATACATACATACATACATACATACATACATACATACATACATACATACATACATACATACATACATACATACATACATACATACATACATACATATGTACACACACACACAGACACCGACTCACTGAATCTTGCTAATCTGCCAACAAAATCCCTTTTATTTTGTTAGGCTTCCTTAATTTGTATTCTCTCCAATCATTCTGTCACAAAGCCAAAAAATCGATGCGCTTTTCGCGACGGTTGGATCGACGTCCGTCCGTGGCTCGCCAGGCGAAGCGGGTCACTGCCAAGGCGCAGGAGGAGGCGGCCCAGGCGAAGCGACTGGTGGAGGCGCGCTGGGGCGCTGGCTTTTGGTTGGGGGGAGTGAGGATTTTGGTCTATGGCTCCAGTGGGTTCCTTAGAAAAACTGGGAGGTTGCACATATTTTTTTTATTTTTATTTTAAATAAACAAATAAACAACAAAACAGGTTGCATTGCCACAAATGGGAAAACTAGACAGGTTGAAGTCGAACCCAAAAGGGGTGCTTCTTCCGTTTCTTCAAAAGGTGGCAGTTTCATTGGACACTACCAGCAAATCGCAAGTTTTGAAGGGACAATTCCAGCGACTCGTTGTCTAAGGGTCATGGAGACTCCAGCCGGGGTTTTCCTTTTGGGAAATCAATGCCAGGGAAGCAAGGTCTGTGTGAGCGTGTGTGTGTATATATATATATGTGTATATGTGTATGTGTGTGTGTGTGTGGGTATGCCATTTCTTGAATCTCGGCACCATTTCGGGGGGCTCAGAGGGGAACCAAAGGTAACACAGGCGTTTCTTGGGTTAAGACACACCCGTTTCGACCCATTGCTGGGGGATGGTGATTTGCCATGGTTCTAAGTGGGGCAGGGCTTCTAATAGCCCTAAAATGGGCTCTGTCTCGCAAATGGGGCCGGGGGGGGGGGGGGGGGCGCCGTTCATGTGGTGTTTGAAGGGAAAGCAAAAGGAATGACTTGGTTTCCCAATTTTGAGCTGAGCTCATGTGCTTTCTCTCACAACCAATTCAACATCTACTTCTGGGCTGAAGCCGGAAGCCCTCCATGAACTTTTGTCTACTTTTCGGACGGAACCCAGATGGAAGGCAGGGCTCAGGAAGGTGTTCCGAGGGCCAGGCATGGATGAATCTAAGTTTGGTCGCTGGAGCTTTTAATTTGGCTGTGGGTCAAACATAGGGCAACCCCAACATGGGTTGCCCTGGTAAATGGAAACAAGGACCAAAACCTGCGGTGGTGGTTTGACCATTTGACGTCCAAAGGTTCCGGGAGGCAACAAAACGAAAGACCCGCAGAGGCGTGGGGAAAGTTTCATGGGGGCTGGGGGGAGGGAGGTAAGCCTTAAATAAGGCCAATATTTTATCGCTGAATAAGGGTTTCTTTGGGCTCCCTCCCCCTCCCCTCCCTCCCCCTCGCCAGGAAGCCAAGCTGGCTGAGCTGAGGGCTGTGGAGGAGGCGCGCTCTGCCACGGCGGAAAAGGCGCGGAGTCGGCGAAGGGAGTCGGGGAAGGGAGTCGAGGGCTAGAGAAGATTTCTGTTTTGTGGTGACTGGTGGGAGCTTTTTTTTTTTTTTGGGGGGGGGGGGTAAAATGAGTTTACCATGATGCAGGTACTGTAGTACTCCTTAGAAGAAGCTTTTGGGATTGTGAGAATCGCGGACCTGAGGGGACCCATAGCTTGTGGAGCGAGGTGTGTATGCCTTTTTGGCCGGTGCTAGGACTTGGGTCGGCTTTTGGGGAGTCTGCTTTCCTTCTGCCCTGGCTCCAAAAAGTGCCATTATTTCTTTTCTTCCGCATAGCTGAGTTGCAGGGCTCCCAGTCCTGTGGTTTGTTCCTTCTTCTTTTTTGGTTCTTTCTTTGTTTCTTCTCTTCTTTTGCACAGGTCATCCCGGGGATTGATTTGGCTTCCGGCTCTTCCTCTGGCGCCAGGCCGCGGGGCTCTTCGCGGAGGCGCAGGCGGCCCAGGAGCGCGTGCGCCAGGCCCTGGAAGCGCAGGCGGTCGGCCGGGGCTGTCGGGGGGGCTGGGCTGGGGGGGGGTTTTGGTCGGTTGGTTTTGACAGGGGAGAGCCATTTGTTTAGCGGGGCACCGGGGGAGGTTTGGTCGAGGTTTTGATGGGAGGGATCCAGGTTCGTGGGTTTTAAACAGAAAAACGAAGACCTGCCGCTTGAGCCGTGTTTTTTTTTTGGGGGGGTCAACCTAAGTTTTTCTAGTTTCTACGAGCCCTTGCTGGGGAGTGAGGGGCTTTGAAGTTTCTGGCATGACATGCCAGGGCGGTTTTTGTTAGACTATCTTATTGACGGTCCCCAAAGCAAAGACTTCCTTAAGCCCTTGGTTGATTTTTGATCGGGTCGAGCAGCTCGTTTTAGAAGGGACCTTCGATCACTTTTGGGGGAACACCCCTTATCAGTCTGCCGGTTCCGCATTCAATCGCTGCGCAATGCGCTTATCGGCCAGAGATTCTTCCACGGGCGCGGATCACTCAGTCTTCACGTGAAAGGGGCCAGATTTCCCCATTCATTTCAACCGCCGTTTTTTCCAACATCCGTGGGTCCGATTTGACCGGGGTCTCGGGAAAGACGGAAGTTGTCCCTAGAGCATGATTGCTCGATATGTCGAGGCTTACTCCGAATATCGGGGTTTGGCTATAGGTCCCCCGGTGAACATCCCAATCCCCACTGAAATGGACTAAAATGGGTGATGCACCTAACCCCAAAATGGTACCATTGGTTTTGACCCACAGCCATATGTTGGGGCAACCTCACTTCGTCATACCCGTGGTAAGTGAACCAAGCCCAGCTCCCCCGCTGACGAGGCCAGGGCGGCACAGGAGGCCGCCCAAGCGCAGCGGGCCGCGGAAGAACTGCAGGCGGAAGCCGACACGAAGTTGGGAAAGACTGGAGCCAGCCCCCTCCCCCCCGGTCCATGAACACTTAGAGGCTATTTTGCAAGCTCAAACCCTAAAAAAGCCAATACCCTGAATGAAGGTTGCAAAATGGACCCTAAGTGTCCATCATACCTCCCCCCCTTTGGCTGGGAGCTGGGGACACTTTTGAGCGTTGTGCACCTTTTGCGTGGCAGATTCCTGGTTTGTGATCCTTTTGTTGCGGGATGTGCTGGCACGTTGGACAGTGTCTTTGCGCGCTCTGCGCAGTAGGGATTGGGATGCCGGACCCCAAAGGGAAGCATTTTGGCGTGCCCTGCCCACAGAGAATCATTTTGGTGTTTGGACCGAATTTTGAGAAGGCCTAATCTTGGTCCAGACCCTCCTCTTGATTTCGGTGAACTCCACTGTTGGAATCCCGACCCCCAACCATTCACGCCAGGGTTGGGCGATTCAACCATTTGTTCAAATGTTCTTGAGCTGTTTCCCGAAAAGGGGGCCGCAATGTTGGTAGTGTCAACCAAGTTTGCCCACCACTGACTCTCACATATCTATCTATGTATACATATACTCGCATGAAGAATTCGTATGTATGTATATGTAGATATGTAGAAATAATTATATGTATATATATATATATGTATATATATATAGTACGGCATAATATAATGCATCTGCACTTAAACATCTCTCTCTCTCTATGTATATGTAAGTAATATGTATGTAAATACCTTTTTCTTAATACTCTCTCTCTCTCTCTCTCTGTATGTATATGTATGTATATGTATCATGAATACCTCTTTCTTAAGAATGAACGCACGGATGCACACGGGGCGGTTCTGATGGACCTCGGCTTCAGGCCAAGGCGACGAACAGCTGGCAGCTGCCCTGGCCCTCGCCTCAGTCAGACTTGACTCGACTTGGCTCAGACTCGTGGAGAGCGGAGAGCGGCGGGGGTGTCCGTTTTTGTTTTTTGTTTTTTGAGGGCACCACGTTGATGGGCGGTTTTTTCCGGTTTTAAACGGAGACCAAAGGAAATCCACGTTTTTTTTGGGTTCCCGTAAAGAAATGACAGACCCACACATTGTAGCCGCTCTAAGACGGCAAGCAGCCGCCTGCATTCGGCTGGGTTTTGGTCCAATCTGCTTCGCACAAGGGCTCGTGTTTTTTTTTGGATGGGTCGAGTAGTCCCACTGAAAGCGGGTTCCTGATTTTGAGAATCCACATTTGTCCCCCTGGTGTCCCGCTGGTGTCCTACCCGAGCATCCACTAGGCAGGTATTTTGTACGGAACTTCTGTTTTTGGGCCATCTTGGGGTCCTTTCCTCGAGCCAGTTCGGTGTGCTGGCGAATGTCAATATAACTTGGCGGTTTTCCGGTGTCCAAGTCCTTTTGGCTTGTGAAGGTTGCACGTAAAGCTGATTTAAAGCATTGGTTTTGAGCTCTGAAGCACCTAGTCTTCCACCCCCACCTGGCCAAGGTACTCAGAACCTTTCTAGTGGTTGGGCCTCTGTTTTATTTCTGCCGCTGCTTTTAGAGCGCGTGCTGACGCGCGAGACGAATGGCATGTGCGTTTGGAACGTCCCACGCATGGAGTCAGCGATCGTCACGAGGAGGGTTGACTCGTAGGAGCGGCCATCTCTGCTTCGCACATGGGGCCCCACATAGTAGCACGTGTGTGTGTGTGTGAGATTGTGCGGGTGTTCTAATATGTCATGAATATTGCAGTGTAAATATGTTTATATACATACAATGTATATATATATATGTACGTGTATATGCATATATATATATATATATATGTATATATAAAGGATATTAAGTCACACCCCCCAATCTACCTTTGAGAGTGTGACCATAAAACACACTTTCCAATACAGTCAGCTAGCTTTCACTAAATTCGGAGAACTGAATTGGGTACCTTCATGTTGGAAGTGCGTACTCCCCAAAAATCATGGGATGAAAGGGTCCAATTCCTGAGAGGATTCCTCGAGTTCTATCCTGAGAGAAGCCTTTCACCCGCAAGGCAAAAGACAGCGTGAGGCGCTCTGAGCGCGTTGCACCCGGCAGAGCAGGCCCCAAAAAGGGAAAGTCACAACAGTACCCTCTCTCCGACAGGGGGTCCCTCCAAGAGGAAACTGATCTTCCAGATGCCCTTTGACAGCTGTCATGTTAGTGGGAGGAAGGGTAGCGCACGGCACAGGATGAAATCTGAATTTCCAAGAAGATGTTGGAACCAACGGTAAGTGCATAGTTTGATTGGCGCAAACATGTGCTATCAGACCTAGGGTGCCCCTTCCCTCAAGGGTTTTTTGCCCTCGAAGAGTTTAAGAATCCTGACCATGGCACCACCTTTTTTGTGAATTGTACCCTCGATAATCATCCTTTCTGGGGCTTTTCAAAAGACAAGCTAAAGAAAACTCAGCGATGTTTGGGGTCCCGGTATTGAGTGCATAGCCCACCAGAACTTCCAATTGTTTCGCCTTTTTGCAAGCCAGAAGTGAGTCACATATTTTCAGCGGCTGTACTCTTTAGTGTTCTTCGACTTCATTTCTGAGCACCCGCATCTATTTTTTTCTTTAGCTGAACATGTGCACCGCGCCGGTCTTATACGATCTCACTCGCTCCGCTGACACGCCCAAGTTTGGGCCCATGAAACAAGGCCCCTGACGGATGCATTGTTTCTTCTTCCCTTTTTTCTTCTGTCTTTGTTCTTTTTCTCTTTTTTTCCTTCTTTTGTTGTGAGGCTTGATACCCTTTTTGGGTGGTTGTGATGGAAGCCAAAGGGAAGCCGTCGCCATTTCTTGGGTAGCCGTATTTTGAGACAAACCCGTATGTGGGCCAGTTTAAAAATTAGCCTTCAGAGTTGCTTCTAATTGTACAGCAGGATATTGATTCAAGGAATCCTGCGGTTGTCAAAAGGACACTCACATTAACTTGTCCCAAAAGGTGATGGTTAGCGCCAGCCAAAGGGGGACATATACCAATTTCACGGCTTCTCCGGTCCAGACGTGCTTTCAGAAAAGGGCGGAAATATCGAGAACCATGTTGATTTGTTTCTGTTCAAACCACCATTCACAGGGTAACTTGAGGCCTTTTGCTGGGCCAGTGCTACATTGTTTCTGAAGGTTCCTTGCTGAATTTCTTCTTCCAGGTGTGTGAGTTGGAGGCCCCGAACCGTGCTGGGTCTGTCTGCGGAGCTTATAGACTCTGCAGAGGTGCAGAGCTTGCGGCCAGTTTTCCGGAGCCAAGTCCCTGGGAAGAACCACCCCACGAATACTCGTATCCGGGGTCGACTATAGAGGCGGCGACCTGAGTCAACCGGTTGCCCCCTTCCACGATGAAACGTCTCGTGCCGAAAACTGCGGACCGCCGGTCCGGGAGAGGCGTCTAGCCTCGCTGTGGCTTTGTGTCTCTTGGCATTGAGCAGCCCCAGAGATGAGAGCGTGGCATGTCACCCAGTGGAAACATCATCCATTGTCAACTGTCAACTTCAGATTGATCCGGAGCATGCCTCTCAGAGCAGCCCTGTGACGAATCTTTTTTTTGTGCAAAAGGGGGAGCCAACCTTGATGATTGCGGTTCGGATTAATCCGAAGTTGACGCTTTGGAGCGCTTTCGGCTTTCGGCAACTTGCGGCGAGCCGTCGGCTTGCGCTTTTTGAAGCCCGTTGGTCTGGCCGTCGCTTTGCCGGGCGAGCACCAAAGCGCAGAGGGGGCATGCTCCGTGCCAGATTTCTCGAAGTACCATAGGACATTTTTCCCCCGGGAGCCAAATTGGCCCTCGACCGCGAGCAAAAAAAGAGTTTGGTCAGTGACTGGATGCCGTTTGCTACGAAAGGGGCCCGCTGAGTGGCTTTCAAATGGGGACGCAGCTTGTACGGCTTGTGGGGACTTACTTAGCTGATTTGTGATGTCTACCCAGTGGCCAACGGGTTTTGACCCATTTCCAAATCGAGATTCCAGATCCGTGAGCTACTGACGCATAACGCAGAAGGCCGCTTGAATCTGACTTGTTTGTTGAGTGTACCTCTTTGGGCCGGAAAATGGCGGGAAACCAGCGCAAGCAAGCCATTTGTGGAATGCCACACCGTGGCAACCAGGTTTGGTTTTCTGCAGCACCTTCTGGCTCTGCTTGCAATTGGAGCCTGGGCAAACAGCCTTCTGACAAAACATGTCTTCAAGGCGCGGAGCGAGTGGATGATGCGCCCGTTTTGCCGGGCTTCATGCGCGAACTGGCGGTGAGGTTGCACTTCCCTTCAGTCATGCCTTGTCAACGTCTTTAGAGACACTCCCATATTTCTTTTCTTGTTGTCTCTCTTTCGATCGGCTTTGACAAACCTTGGGAATTGGGGGATCGGAATCAGTCCAAAGCGCACCTTTTGACCTTTCGGTTTGCCCATTTTGCTCCATAGTCATCCACCCCAAAAGGTGAACCTTTTTCCAGGGCTCCTTGGGCGACGTCCACGCAGCCGAGGACCTATGGCTCTGCAGCCATGGCGGTGGCCTGTGCAGGCGAGCTGAGCGAAACTTGGCGGCGCCCCGGGATAGGAGGCCTATGATTCACGGGTGCGTGTGTGTGTGCGTGTGTGTGTGTGTGTGTGTGTGTGTGTGTGTGTGTGTGTGTGTGTGTGTGTGTGGTTGTGGTTGTGGTTGTGGTTGTGGTTGTGGTTGTGGTTGTGGTTGTGGTTGTGGTTGTGGTTGTGGTTGTGGTTGTGGTTGTGGTGGTGGTTGTGGTTGTGGTTGTGGTTGTGGTTGTGGTTATGGTTTGTGGTTGCGGTTGTGGTTTGGTTGTGTGTGTGTGTGTTTTTCTTTTCTTTGGTGCACTTTGCCAAGGGATGTTTGGACTGAACAACTTTTTGCCAACTAATGGGTTTTCGATTAAACCACTAAAAGTTAAACTTTTAGCAGGGGAGCAGAAAGCAACCGAGCTTTGAGTTGGTACCCGTTTTTGAGAGGTTTGAAAGGGGAACTCGCAGGCAAACCACATTCTCTGAAAGCTCAACCACGAAACATGTGATGCTCTCGGACGCAATTCATGTCCAGCTAGCAGCAAATTTTCACCGTGGCTGATCTGAGAGCCCAAAGAGTTTGTAGATCAAGATATCTGCTGTCACTCCGGATGACTGGGGGCAAGGAGGCCATAAGCGAGCTACCATGGTACAGTTGACAACACGAGGTGAGTGCTTGGATGGTTAACCCACGTAGCATGGTCATCAGGGAGCTGACCCAATTACCCCACTTGTAAGTGGTCTACGCTGGTTTTTGGCAGTGAGCACACATTCCCAAGCCAGAAGCAAGGCTTTCCGGTTGTTAACGGCGGTCAGGAATTCATGCACCCTTCTTGGCGCAACATCTTTGACAATGCTCAGGTAATTGGAGGCTTTGGTCGACCTCTGATTGGCCCAGCTCAATCAGGGGTCCCACATGCCCAAGTCGGAGCCAACGAAAAGGAAGCCTTGTTAATTCTTCAGTCGTTTTGGGCGGACTCTTTTGCTACCGGATTTCGGTGATTGCAGAATCTTGAGGTTTGTGCGACGGTTCAAAGCTCCCAACCTTCCGAATCATCCAAGGGTCGAAATGTGGCCGGCGGTTTTCCTCGAATCCGCGCTGGCACTTGTCCAGTTCCCAGTTTGCCCGGCTCGCCGAGCTCGTTTTCATAAACCCATGTCGGGTAAGGTTCTACCCATGGTCGGGAACTTATCCACTCATGCCACTCGGCTTTACCCCGGTAGCCATGGTTGTACCTATCCTAGGTCCCCCAGTAGTGCCCTTTTACCGTTTCTTTTTTTGGGGGAGGGTTCCCCTACTAATCGAATACAGAAAATCTGGTACCCTTACTCTAACCTCTCCACTGGACCTTGTTCCTGATCTTGGCTGAAGATCTGAGAGAGGTCGAGCCAACTCCCCATAGGCGTCCTAGTTGGTTGTTTTGGTAGAAAAATCGATGGCGATTCCTGGTTTGCCTGGTGGTTTCATCATGTAGGGCCATCTATTTCCTCTCAAAGGACAGCTATGAATTTCCTTCGAAGAACCCGCGGCCCTTGTCCGGGCGACGCCAACTTAGCCCGCAGGCGCCGGCGCCTTTCTGATTCCCGGCCAGGGAGTCGGCGGCACTGGGCTCAGCGCTTCGGTTTTTGGGGCAAACGAAACTGGGGGACGAGGCATCCATGGGCGGAATATCTTGGTATCGGGTTCTGTTGTTGGTGTAACATTTAAACCAAAACAGCACCGGAAGAAGGGGAGTCTAAGAAACTCGCACTGTGAACCCACCGAAGGTTTGGTGTTTCGCAAATGACTCGGATCGCTTGCACCTTGCACCTTGCACCTTGCACCCGCAGTCGGGACCTTCCAAGTTACTTTGATCTTGTTGGGCTTTTTGCTGCTCAAGCCGTGCCAGGTGGCTTGGGTTGGTGGTTTGGGGATTTACACCCCACTGTCCTTTTTTGAAGGGAACAAGAGGCCACCCCCCCCAACCTCCAAGCCACCAATCAGAGGAAATCTGACGACCATTCCGTGCCGAAACAATCACACCCCGCTGGGGCCTCCAAACCACAATCCAAACCAAACAGGGGAAAGCTGACGTGCCGCGAGTTCGAACGAAGGCGGACCCGCTCGGACCGAGCCGAAAACGCTCAGCGAGGTGCGGTAGCCCCTCGTGGTCACGCCGGGCCAAAGGCGGAGGCCTCGCAACCTCATGGAACCAGAAAGACAGCGTTGGCACCAGAAATGCATGGAACCAGCAATACATGCCCCAAATGGTCGCACTGTGAATCTGGGAAGTCACTCTCCGTGCCCTTTGCCCTCCTTTTCAGCTTCCTTCCCATTTCGCCAACCCGAAGACGCTGCGAGTCCCAAGTGAAAAGGGCGCGCATCACCTGAAGGCACAGAAGGAGGTCTTTCGGTGTCAACGCCGGGCCTTGGGTACTTCCTTGACTTCAGAATGTCATTTTCCGGCCACAGCGGTGTGCGCAGGCGACTGGTGCGACGCTGTCGGTGGCCGGGGCCTTCTGCTTTTCTGTTGGTCCAGTTGGGTGTGTCTTTCTTTAGGAATTGGAGTCTCTCGGGCTTCCTTTTGGTCTCCCTTAAACACCACCAAGAAAGGGGTGCCCTCAAACAAAACCCGCGGCTCAAAATTGGGCGGCATCTCCTGGGAAGGTGATGTTGCGTCTTCTTGAGCTTGTTCTTCGATGGTTGTTCATTAGAGCTGCTTGTTCTGTTTGTTCTGTGTTTTTCAATGTCTGTTGTTCATTTCAAGAGCTGTTTTTTCGAACAGCTGGTGTTGGTCCTTTGCCTTGAAACCTGCCCCAGCTTAGGCGGCGCCCTTGGCACTGGGTACCGCCGCGGTGGCGGTGGCGTGCAAGAGGCGGGCGCAAAAAAAACAACACCCCCCAGATGGCCACAAGGCGCGGTCGGTAGAGTCGGCAAATTGGCAGTGACAGCTTCCTGGTCATTGGATCACGGAATCTTCTGAAAAGGTGAGTGGGTGGCAAATGGTTTGCCTAGCGAAATGGCAAGGTATAGGCCAGTTGCTCCAGAATGGTCTGCAAGCGACTTCCCTTCTACTTTCATGTTTTGCCTTGGCTATCTTGCTATAGTGGAAACTAGAAAGCGACGCGGAATTTGCGTCATAGTTGCACTTTGCTTGGGGTTTAGGGAGAGTCGTGGAGCCCAAACAGAATTCAAACAACTGTAAGGATTGCCATGGACGCCACGGCCATGAACCATGTAGAGTTTTGAAACCATTCCACCCTTAGCATGCTTTTCACAGACACACAGGCCTCAACCCCTGGTCCAGCTGAAGATACCCAAAAGCGCCTTGGAGAGTGGTCACTCCGCATGGGTTTTCAATAAACCTCGACTCGACGTTTTAGGGGGTTCTTCTCTACCGCCCCATGTTTCTTTTCCCCCGAGTTCCCTTGTCAGGTTGGTTCAAATCCAGAAGTAAGGCCACCATTTTGGGCGCTCTTGATATCTGACATGGGCAGGTTTTTCTTTAGGGGACCCACCTTTGTATGGCGGTTTTTCTGCAGGTTTTCCCTTAAAGCCAGGCCCTGGCAAGGGGGTATCAAATCAAAAAGACGAGGCCCCCACAGAAAAGCCTCCGTGTCAGGCGCACGCAGACTCGCCTGGGCCTCGGAGAACTGCTATGGAGCCAAAAGCGGCGTTAGGGAGGTCTGTTGGTTGGCGGATCTTGACGCGTGCGAGTTCTTCAAGCGAGCCGATAGGATGGCTCCCGGGCTTGGTGCGGGATTCGGTTCCAAGCCCAAGGCACCAATGCGCTCAGGTGTACTTGTGTTTTCACATAGCTTAACAGAAATGGGCCGGCTCCTTTTTTGTTGACCTGCAAAGGTGTCAAAAAACAACCCCTTGGAGTCCTGCAAGGGGCGAAGCCGTTTGGCCCATTTGGGGCACTTCAGTTATTTTGCATCCTCGTGGCAAGGCGCAGTGCAACAACGTGCTCCCTTGCTGAACGGGCTCGAGGCTGGCGGTTTCGACAGCGACTTCACCACGGCCATTGGCCAATTCTTGATTCGCAATAAATGGAGGTAGTTCTCTTGGAACCATGCTTACGACTCAGTGGGTTGAACATCCAAGGGTATACAGTGCGCAAATCTTTTAAGCATATCGCGCACTCAGCTGGCCGTCGGGCCGGCGTCTCAAGAACACCTTGGGCTTAAGTGAATCCCTCCAGTTTCATACGATTCCGAGCCCTTGCTGATGCTAAATCCAAAGGCCCAAGCGATCAGGTGGCCTAAGGCCGGGATGACAATCAGAACCGTTTCCTTGGCCTTCGTATGCTACCCGAAGCGAGAAATCCCGTGGCTTGCCAGGATGCGATCCAGAGCAGGTTGGAGGAGCGTTTGAAGAGGCGAATTGGCCTTAAGCTGGGGGGAAATCAGAGTGCATCTTGTTCCTTGCCGCAAGGTAAAGTATTTGAGCTCCAGGTTTTACATAGTTTTCTCCCTGGCCAACCACATGTTACCAATTAAGTGGCTTGAAGGGAGCACTGGGTCTGAATTCAGAAGAGGGTTTTTTGGAACTCCTTTCGGATGGTTCAGCGCCGGAGTGTCACTGGGAAGAATTGCTCCGAACGAACATGGAACCCAAAAGGCCTCAGGGGCTTTGGTCCTGGACTCGAAAGCGAACGGAGATTCCTCTAAGTGGCTATGAACTTTGCTGGGAACCCGCCTCAAAAGTGGTTGGAGGGCATGATGCCGAATTTGGTCTCCACCAACGGGCCGGCCAGTGAAATTCACAGCCATGCGATCCCTGCGAGTTGGCATGCGCTGTGCGTCCATTTCAGGTGGACCTTGAAACCATTGGAGGGTACCCCATAGGAACCAATGTGCTCAAAAGGATTTCGCATGACTTGGGTCCAAGTCAGCTTGACCCGACCAACGCCATGTTCGAGTCAGCGCTCAAGGAATACAGGGTTGCGAGCTGGGAGACCATGCCGATGCTCTTCGCCCGCTAGGCTGAATGTAACATGTAGAAAGCCCTGGGCCACAAGTCCTCGAGTTCAAAGAGGCGATTTTTTTAAATTGCAACTTGAGCTGAAAAAGGTGTAAAATGCTGAAAAAGGTGTAACATGGTGCAATTCGTTGGGTCTTGGTGTAAAAGCAAAATCCCGAAACGATGCGCAAAAAAAAGGCGGCAAGCCAGGTACTACGCCTTTTCATCGACCTTCGGTTTCGTTCCCCGGCCAAGTGGCGAAGCCGGCCTTGGCCCAACTCGATACCTCGGGACCCAAGGCAAACTTCCCCCGCTCGGTTTCCCACGTGGCCAACGGGGTTTTTGCACCAAAGGAAGCTCTGGGAGTGGCAGCAAACTCATCTACTGAGAGTGCAGAACCGCACAGCACGAAAGTTGCGGATGGGCAAGGCGGATCGGCTCACTGCTAGGAAAGCCACCTGCCCACTTTGAGAGAGCTCCCGGCGTTTATTGCCAGGCTTCCCGTTTCATCTTTGCTACCTTCCCTTTTTAGAGGTGTTTCATTTCCCCCAACCGGCAAGTATAGTTGTTACCTTGTTTTGCTACCTCCTTTTTGGAGGTGTTTCGTTTCCGCCAACCGGCAAATAGTTGTTACCTCAGGGCCAGACGTCTCCGAACAACTTGGTGGTTGAACAGATGAGCCCGACGGGGGCAACGCGAAAGGCAGCACAAGATCGCCTCGGAGATGCAGAGGAACAACGACGCCTTCAAGAAGCAGCTGGAGGAACCTGCGAGGAATTGACAGGGCTCCTGAAAAGATACATTTTGCAACCATTTGAAGCATGGCTTTTTCCACCAAAATACAGGGAAACCACCATTTACAAGGCAATGTCCAGGTGTACAATATAAGGATCCCTGGTTGAATTGGGGCAAAACGTCCAGGCCTAAATACATACGGCTTGCGGTGCATCAATATCTTATGATCATGGCCAAATTGGTTGTAAACTACTTTACAGCCGTATTCGAATTATTTGGGCAGCTATATTGGGTGTCCTCTTGGGCCGGTTTGGTTTAAGCTGGATGGCGCTGGTTTTAGTTTGGGTTGAGACTCTTTTATAACAGTGCCATCTATTCTTTCCAAAAGGGTACCAATGGACAGAGGGTGTCTCAAATGACACCATATGACATGTTGAATGGGGGGGGGGGGGCAAGAGCTGACATAGATTCTGCCACTGTCTGATCAGCAGGGGCAAACAAGCAATTTCGCCCGGTTCCGGTCCCGAATCTAAATGGTAGTGAGAACAGTCTCAACCAGAAATAGTTGCGGATTCCATGTTTTTTTCGGCGAAAGCATCGCGGAGGCCTTCTTCCCTGCACAGCCCTTGGACGGTTTCTCACAGAGCAACTTGCGCGGAGCTACTTGCACAGAGCCATCTGCGCAGAGCCACTTGCACAGACCAACTTGAACAGAGTAACTTGCCCAGAGCCATTTGCACAGAGCCATTTGCACAGAGTCACTTGCACAGAGTCATTTGCACAGAGCTACTTGCACAGAGCTACTTGCTCAGAGCCATCTGCACAGCAAGCCGCAAGATGCCGAGCCTCTATGCTAGCTCTCTACCCAAGAACCTCGAGGGATACACCTTAGAATGTACACACGCGCAAATACATACATATATATATATATATATGCTGGCCCCCTCCAAGATCCACGGCTGAGGTGCTCTCTAAGAAGATCGACAAGAACAACTAGCCTGTTTTTCCTCAATCGACTCTATTTAAATTCTAGTTAAAGTCCTTCTTGGAAATGAACTCCTATTAAATATCTAATTCAAAACTAACATGTGAATGTTACCCCTACTCAGACTTAAAGCCTTGCAGATTAACACTCGTAAACCTATAGAACCGAAACTGCATTCTCCTTGGATTTCTATAGGTTAATATTGGGGCGAGCACAGCTGGCATAGTTCCCACCCTCCCCCAATTTGGTGTAGTGATTCCCGTGCCATGGAAAAGCCCTGGTGTGACATACTGTGCATGGACGAAAGCCAATTCGCACGACTTGGAAACCATGGAGAAACCATGGTTGGTTGGTATTGAGAGGGGAATCAACATTCCAAGGTTTCCAGGTGGTGCGAGAAGCGGATTTCGTCCATTCACAGTACTTTTGGCATACATGAGCTTTTGCCTTTCCCGACCCAGGAAGAGCTGGCCTCCCACATGGGTCCGGGCCTCACAAAAAAGGGTCCCAAAGCAGCGTAGGTCGCGGGTTTGGTTTTGGCTTTTCTGGTCTCAGGGGATGCCTTGGCGGGTGTTTGTCCTTTTTTAGGGGTTTATCAAGATGGAGGTTTTCTCCTTTGGTTCCTGTTGAAACCACCTTCTCCTCAACGGGAGGCATCTCCTCCCAACCGGCCTTGTGGATTCCGCACGCCGCAGCAATACTTGTTGGAGCTGCCCGGCACCCCTGTTTAGAACCGCTCGATGCATTTCCAGAACCCTGTTCGGACGTCCATCCCACCCTTCGAACCGCCTTGCAGCCTTGGAGCCGGCTCTGCTTGGAAAATGCCCCATACATCCCGGAACCCCTCATTGGACCACTGAAACCCATTTGGGCAAGGCGGCGAGGCAAGGCCGGCCGCAATTTGCAAAATGGTGGCCTTCCTGAAAATTTGGCATGTCGGCCTTGAAAAGCTGACCCTTTTGCGGGTACCGGGCGGGTCGGCATTCAAACATTTGGGGATTTCTACTTATTTGCGCCCCCGCGATCCTTCGAGCGGGTCGACGTTCTAGTGTCCCTGCCCCACTCTTGCGAAGATCAGGCATGTTGCCTCACCAAAACGCATGACGAAACGGTACTGGTTGAAGTTCGAAGCTGGGGCTGAAAGTTTGTCTTGTGGGTCGCGCGCCCGCTCATGTTTTGGAAGCGAAGGGTCTCAGGCTCGAAGCCCCTTGATCCGCTTGAGCTCGAAAATCTCAAATCTTCAGCTCAAAAGTGGCGCGCTGAGTGCGCTCCCGCAAAGGAGCACAGGTCGGAAACTTGCCCACACACACACACAAACCTTTTGCGCAGCAAAACATGGGGAGTGAACTTTAATTTCCTGGTCCGAGGTGAGACTGCTTCAGACACTGGGGATCTACAACTTTGATTCTGAGCACAAGCCAGACTCCCCATGGCTTCGTAGACCCGCCGTTTTTCTGACTTCGACACTTCCATCCCTAACGGGCCACTGGACCGGCAGACCGTTTTTTGAGGCCTGAAGGACCAGCTGAAGACGAGGATCCGCGCCCTGCAGGCGCGTCGCAAGTCGGTTCCCTTCCCACCTTCAAACCTGGCGGGGTCGGAGGTTCCGATCTGTTTTTTCCCTTTTTCTCCTTTCCGGTCGGACTTCCGGGCCTCGCGAAATCGTAAAAGTTTGAGAACCACCACCCCACCAGGGTGGGTGTTTTTTGTGACTTTTTTTTGGGCAGAAGGGAGAGCCTCCAAGGCTGGGTGATTTGGGGCGAGAGGGTAGCTTGTGGTTCTACTGTTTGTGATGCCGAGAAACACCTGCAAGTGGAGTTATTTTCAGCCATGTGCCTCACCCTTTGATTACTAGATATAGTGGATTGCCTCATTGCCTAGGACTAGCAATTCGGCTCCAGATACTGTTTTCACAAGACACCTGAGAAAGGCGTAGGTGCAACTTGACGCCATGGGAGAGCACGAATCCGATGAGCCGGTCACACTCCAAGGAGTCTTGCTGGACATCGAGCAGCTCATTGTAAAGCTCATGGCTCAGCGCGCGGACGCCGCGCCGCCCGTGCAGATAGCCATCAGCCATGAGTTGGAGGAGACACGCAACGTGAGCTGCAGCTCCAACGGATTGGAGGTCACGGCCGTGCCGGAGGGCTTGACGAAGGCCGTGTCCTCTGAGAGATTCACGGCTTTGGTGCCATTGCCACAGCCGGAGCTTCCCAATCGCCTAGACACAGACATCGAGTCCAGATTCAGCCGCCAAATCTCTTTCTATCCCGGCCCGGAATCTGATTCCGGTTCGGAGGAGGGTTTTGAGTTGCACATGGCCTGGCGCAACATAGGCGAAAGGAATTCTTTAAGGTCCTCCCGGCGACCTGCTTTGGCACAGCTCGTGCTGAGCCCAACAGCTCTGCTTGCTGCGGCTTCGCCACAAGAGAAGTGGTACGTGAAGTGCCTGACGAGGTGGCGCCCGGCCTTTGCATGCCTTGCTTCCATGCTGATTCTGCACGACTGTGTCATGGTGCCCTCCTTGCGTTTGATCCTGCTGGCTCTGCTGATCTGCTTTTCAAGCTGCTGTTCTGGGCTGTGACGCTGCCTATTCCTTGCCGGCATGGTGCTACGAGCATTGCGGTGCTGGATGCGGTGCTGGTGGGGTTGTTGTGCTTTGAGCTTCTGAGCGGTATCAGCTTTCTGAGAGGCTTCCAGCTGCTTCGCGTGCTACGCTTGGTTCAGCTCTTTAAATTCACAGGCTTTGGGCGGCCGGCAAGCCGGTGGATGCACCAGAGTGGCAGGGAGGTACGGGCGCTTGTGAACATTGCAGCCACCTTATGCTTGACGGCCATTTTCTTGCACGTACTGACATGTGTCTGGTTTTCCTGCGGCAGTCTTGCAAATGGCTGGGTCGATGAGGAGGTCCGGCAACTCTCCTTGCGGCAACAGTACCAGCGTTCGCTGGAGCTGGCTTTGTCTCGCCTTCATCCATCACGGACCGCAGAGAACATGACGATGAATACCCAGCTGGAGCGGATGCTGTCCTTGTTGGCCACGGGGGCAGCGGTGCTTTGCGGCGCCATTTTCACCTCCATCGTCACCAATGACCTCTCAGACATCCGCCGAACCCGCCGGGAGCAGAGGGAGGCACAGAACAAGGTGTCTGACTTCCTCACCATCTATCCGGTGAGCTGGGAGCTGGAGCTGCAGATGAAGGAATATCTGAATCGGAACATGTGCAAAGTGAAAATGCCCTGCAAGCAGGACTTATCCCACATGCTTCCAGACTTCTTGTTCCGCGAGCTATGCCGTGAGGCATTGACGCCCGTTTGGGCCAAGCACAGCTTTCTGCACGGTCTCATGATGCGGCACCTCTCCTTCCAGTATGACCTGTCCACCCAGTGCCTGATGGATTGGAACGTGGGAGCTGACGAGACGCTCTTCTCTGCCGGGTCCAAGTGTGACAGCATGCTGATGCTGTCCCATGGCTCTATCGAGTACCGCGCAATGGGCGGTTGTAAGGTGCTGCCGCATTTGTCGAGGCAGACCTCCTTCCAGCAGCCGCTTTCCAAGGAAGCCGAAGGTGACCCGGATGCTGTATTGCATCCTGGTGACTGGCTGGCTGAGGCCTGCCTCTGGGTGAGCTGGCAATTCATGGGCAAGGCGAGGAGTCACGGCCGATCGGCATTGATTTGCCTCAGCTACCCGAAGCTCCTGGCGGCAGTCAACTTGCACAAGGAGGCAAGCTTCGACTTGATTTTGTACGCGCGGCACTTTGTGGCTACCCTCAACGACATTCCAGAGGAGGAGCTCACGGATCTACCCATCAACGTCGACTTGCCGGATGTGTTGAGTTGAAGACAAAGCTGCTAGCCACTTGGTCGCTCCCAGCCATCCGGTTCCTGAGCTTTTTAGATCTTTTTAGTGTCTAGTGGTAGTTTCCGAATTTTACCCACAAGTTAGTCACTTGTAGCGGGGGATCTGAGAGCCCAGGCCAGCGTGCTTTTTCGGGATGCCATGACCTTGAGCTGTCGTATGAGTCAGGCTGGTCTTGGGAAATCTTTTGTTTCACCGGCCATTAATTGTTTAAGGGGGACCCCTTGGTGAACATCAAGATTCGCTGGAGATTCCTGTCCAACTACTTGTGAGGCGGTTGCCCATTCAAACACATGGCCATCTAACTGTTTGACATCCGCCCGTGCTTTTGAATCCGGGCCACATTCCGTGCTTGCATTGTGAGAGACTCACTCATGTTAGTGCGAGAAGAACCACATTTTGCGCTTTTAGTTGGCCAGTCCAGGCAGTGAGTAGTGACAGGTCGGTTTCGAGGCTGGACCTCGACCTACACAAATATATCCGTCGCTGTGGCATGCTTTAGGCACTACGGCTGGCGGCCAGTGCTGTCTGATTGAAGGTTGATTTGCCCCACAGACTTCCTTTTTGCGACAGAGTGGTTTGCATCCAAAGGCCGATTCACTCAATGGAGACAAGCGAAAGGGCAGCCACACCGGGGTTGGACAAGAACAGTCTTGAGAGTGGCAAAGCAACAGTGCCTGTCTAGGCATAGTTTTATTTTAAAGGGGCGCCGATACGTTTTTGGACTCTCGTGCAAAGGGAGTTTAGCACTAAGTCAAGGACAGACTTGAGCAAGATGTCCTAATGAAAAGGCGCGCTCGACACGTAGGATCTGAAGTCGGCCAACGAGGCGGACAATCAAATATGGCTTGCTTCTTGCAGCAAACCAAAGAGGCCAAGCCAGCGATTGGTTGAAGCCATGCAAGCCACCAAATGAGCTATTGTTTGTTAACGATGATCATCCACCACTAGTTGTTTTGGCTGCAGAGGTTAAAACATCCGAAATCAATGGCGAGTCATGGCATGACATTTCACGCTTTTTTTAGGGGGGCTCTCTCGAATGAGGACACAGAGATGCCTCCGTTCTCGGCGTTGACCGAGCAACATGGAGAGATCATGTCCTGAAGGTGAGGACTGGTCGTTTTCCTGCCGCGGCGTTTCCATCCCGCGTGCGAGGCTACCCCGGGTGGCCACATGCTCAACGCACAGAGACTTAAGCATTGACACGGCCTGGAGGGTCCGCTTTTTGGGATGTTCGGAAGCGAAGCTTCGAAATTCAGCGTCGAACACGCTCGAGCCCAGCGGCCCACTTGTCCGTGTCCTGGCAATTTTGAACCCAAATTCGGCCAGTTCGTATATTGTGTCCTCCCGCGCGGCGCCCTCACATCTATGTCACCTAGCAAGGCACATCCATTTTTACGTCAGGATCATGTTGCAAAAGAGGGCGGCTTTTGCAATGGAGAAGGCAAGACTGGAGTTTACTCTATGTGTGCAGCTTCAATACCCATCGCCTGGCGTCCGCAAATGTCGCCGAGCTTGATGCCACAGGTGTTTGGTGAGATCACGTTGTGGGTGGCAGCTTCTTCCCGCAAGAAATTGACGGCAGTGCCTTGGCCACAGCCAACGGTGCCATCCGACACTTGATAGGGCTGATGGGTACTTGAGGCTATTGAGCAAGGAACCCCCAGAATGATAGCCTGCAACTCCCTGCGATTTTTATTTATTTATTTGTTCATTCTCTATTTTCATGTTTTCCCATTTTTTTTTTTATTTCTCGAATTACCCTGAACCGATCACTCCGTTGGGTTATTCTCAACACTTCGATGCGCCAAATGAAAGCCAACCTCGAAGCGTGCCTGGATGTTCAACCCACTTCCATGGTGCCCAGTTGACCCACTTCTGAACAAATAGATCACCTGGGTACATCTCAGTGTTTTTTTTGGGTTCTTTTCGCCCAGGTTTCCCAAAGACCGTTTGGGCAAACTGCCAAACGGATGCTTCGCATGTCGCCAGACGATCTACGACGATGCCAACGACAAGCTGGAGCTTTCCCAGTCCCTCTCCCAGAAGTCCAAGGCTCGAAATGCGACCCCCCCCCTCCCGCATGTTTTGGCTCGGCTTGGCTTTCCGAGGCTTCAAGACACATCCCAATTTTGTGATATCTTTGGTGGTTCAAGGGGAAATTGTAGGCTAGTAAGGGAAAATCCCACCAAAAAGATAGGTGCGGAATTCCGTTCCCTTTTGATTCTTCGCTTGGTTTTGGGCAGATGTTTCATCAGATTTCGACTCCAGTGGCTCAATTCCGCCTATCACCTCTAGCTGCTTTTCTGGGTCTCCGCAGGTTTGGCCTTCTGCGCCTTGCCCAAAAAGAGAGAGCTCGCAAGTTGGCCTTGCTTTCCTTGCAGAAAAAACAGCAAAAACAAAAAAAGGAGAGAGAAAAAAACAGGATGTTCCTTCCAGGAGAGCTGCTGTGAGCTGGAGGATCAGGTCTCCGACCTGGAGCGGAACCTGAGGCGATTCTGCAAACCCCCAAAGCGGCGGCGGGGGGTTTTGGTCGTGGCCGTCCCCGATTTGTTTTTCATTTTTAACTTATCTGAAGAACTGAAAGGGGACGACACCCCTTTGGCATCAAGGGATTTGTTGATACGGCGTTGACGTTCAGGGCTTGGAGTTTAGGTTGGAGGTTGGAGGTTGTTAAGAACATGTCGCCGTTGGAAAGCGAGAGCGCGCCCTTTGTGGGCAGCCCGCTGGGATGTTCAACCCACGTGTGACCGTGGTTATATCTGGGCTGGCTAGTGACAAAATAGCCAAAGCTATGTCCAAGCCTGAGCTGGGTGGAAGGTCGGATCCTGAGAGACAGCCGCGATAGTCGCCATGCGGGGCCGGAAGCGTGGAAACTGCGAATGATCTTGAGACTTCGAATCCTTATCACAGAAAGGCTACTTCGCCAATACCGTTATACCCTGATGAACCTGGACCCCAACATGGAATCATGGGCCAAGCTTCTCCTTTTGGGGAGTTCTTTCCCGGGAACAAGTCCGGGGAGTTGGTTCCCACCAGCTCCGGTTTGGCCCAGCTCCGGTGTGCTTGAAACGATCCGCAGGGAGGTGGACTCCAAGAACAGGGCCCGGATCTCCCAGCTGGAAGGCGAGGCCAAGGAGAAGGAGGTGCGGTTCGTTCGCGGTGCTTTGCGGCTTTGCGGTTCAAGCGCGTGGGGGGTTGGGCTGGGTTCTTCGAATCCGCGAGTTTGGAGGAGTCATTGGAATTTCCACCCCCAAAGAAAAAGAAGACGGAAGACGGAAGAAGCAGGAAATACAACTGGGACATAGTTGCACTGCAAAATATTGGGATCATCAAACGAAGAACGACGCCACAGAAATGATATAAAGAGGAATCGCTGTTCTGTTTTGGGGTCGAGAGGCTTTCACCAAACAAATGGGTTTCAACTATCGTACCTCCGCTTTCCCATGAGACCTAACTTGCGGCCTTGTTGCCGCTGGAAAGAAGCCAGGGAAGGGGGAAAAAAGAGCAAGGGGAGGCGGGGTGTGAAGCCTCTGAGAATGTTGGGTTTTAAGCCCCAAGCGAATCCTTGGGGGTGCTGAAACCCAGGAAAATGGGTGGTTTCATCTTGACCATGGGTTGGTCTCAGAAAAATTGGGGCTCGAATCCCGGCTCCGTGGGACTCGTTCTCCGAGGTGCTTCGGGTTTCGGCCCAGGGAGTTGAGCCAAAGGGGCTGGTCCAAGCGAACTTTCCAGCTGTCTTGGTGTTGACATGGTTGTTGTTGGGAAACATATCTCCCATTTTGGCTTATTGTGGTTTAGAGGGTTGAAATCCAACCACTGATCTGCTAAAGTTTAAATTTTTGCTCCCCTTTCAACGTCAACCAAGTTGATGTGTTTCCTGTTGACTCGCCGATGCTCGGTACCTCCCTGTTCCCCGATGAATAGGCCAACCTACCCTCAACACGGCGCGCCCGGGACACTGGAAAAGGTTAGCTTTCTATGTTGGCGCCCGGATGTCTTCTTCACTCGCAAAATGGCATGGCGATCCCCACCCCGTCCTCTGGAATTTGAGACCTTTTCACCTTTTGCTTGGTTTCAGCAAAAACACACGAGTCCCTCAATTGAAAGGCGGGGTGAACGGCCTCCCGGCCGTTGGCAAAACCACACGCCTTGGGAAGTGCTCCGCCATGCGCTGGTGCCAGTTGAGAGTGGCCCGTGCTTCTTCTCATTGCTTCCAACTTTTTTGCTAGCGGACAACCCTTTGGAGGATTTTGCAGGCATCGAGGGGGCACAAACCACTTTAAGTTTCTTGGTTTGGGACATGAGGCCGGGATGGCCTTTCCCTGAATGCCTCTTGGTTGTGGAGCCCTGGCTTTTGGGGTCCACATTCTGAAATCCGCTCTTAGGTGAGAACCTAGTGATGAGAATCCCACTTACAAAAGCGAAACAAAAATAAATAAATAAATAAATAAGAATACCCCTCCAAAGGGTATCCTCAAAACAAGAAATACCCTCTAGCCAACAAACATGCACTGGGTCCTGGATCTCCATGTTCGTAACAGGCCCGTCTGGGTACACCAAGCGTGTCATGTTTTTCAAGTAATGTTGACACAGGATTAATAAACCCGTCCCAGTATTAGGGGGGTGTTGCCTCCAAAAGTGATGAATCCGTCAGGTGAAGCTGGACCAACTGAACCTGGCGACTGGGCGCTTGCAGGAAAGTATCAGGCCGAGAAAGAGATCTCATGGCTGACGGCACCCAACCATCGGGCCATCGGGATCCATTTTCTTTGCCCAAACGTCCACCCAAGTTGGGAGCGCATTGACTATGGTTATATAGTTCCCTTACCATCCAAAAGCGGGGTGTTCTCGCTCCCAAAATGTGATTGCTGTAGAACACGGGCATTTGCTGTCAATCTGCAGGAGTTCATTTTTCCGCAATACACTTGGTAATCTCCAATGCACCGGCAACACCTCCCTGTTTGCTTTGTCATTCTGTAAGTCATTTGTTCTGATGTTGGTTGATTGTTTAGGTCCTTCGTTTGATTTTGTAAATCAGTTTGTGGCAAGTGGGAATCCAACGCTGATGTTTATGCTGACTTGCAAACAGTGGTGGCGCCAATGCATGTGAGTTTGCAGAGAGTGTCTGTGAATATGCGCAGTTGTACAGCTTCTTTCCCTTCCGTACTTCACATGAGCAGTGCCCAAGGTTCATTGGCAATTTTAGTAGCTAGTTCTACTACCTTGTTGTCTTGGGGTTATAGCAATGCCCTATATGAACCTTTGTAGCCATGTTGGTGGATCCAAAAGTCAGCAGGTTCCGGACGCTCACATTGGCAATGTTCTCAACCAACAGTGGGGAGCACATGGGTCTGTCGTGTTTAGAGTTGGTACCCCTTTTTTGGTGGTTTTAAAGAGATACCGAAAGGAACACAACCGACAACCGTTGCGCCAAGGTGGGACTCGGGTCCGATTCCTAAAAAGGAGACGGCCATGCTTAAAGTGCAGCGCACTTAATAAGTGGATACAACCCACTTAGGAAACTTATAACCATGGTTTTTGTGAGTTATAACTATGGTTTTTGCTCACATACCCAGTACCCTGGCCCTTGAAATTCTACGTGGGGCTTCCCACCTAAAGATAAACCGCCCATCTGGGTATGGGTCAAAATAAAACCACCAGGAATTGGACCCCAGGTTTTAGTCTTTGTTTCTATTTAGCAGGGCAACCCATTTGGCTGTGGGTCAAAGCCAACGGTACCATTTTGGGGTAGGTGCACCACCCATTTCAGAACCTATTTTGGTGGGGACTGGGTACGTTCACTGGGGGTACGATTTGCATTTTGAAAAGCCCATGGCCATTTTGGGGTTACCCGATTTAGCCACAGCCATCTGACGGAGCCATAGCTCTCCCGGACACCGGCTCAGGGAGCTGGAGGAGACACGCCAGGCCGGGCTTGAGGAGCCCCCGGGGTGCACAGCGGTGTCTGTGTCTCACTTCCTGAGTTGGTGGACTTTAAACTTTTTGGGTTTGGACCATTTTAGTGGTATATAGAAAGTTCGAACTTTTTTTGGCCAGTCAACTTGGGAAGTGAGGTGTCTTTTGTTTGTTTGTTTGTTTGTCATTCTTAGAGGGAGTCAGGATCACTTTTGTGGGGGCTCGCCCCCCTCAGTAGCCTGGGCGGATTCAGCCCGGGTCGACACTGTGTTTCGCCTTTCTACGGGGTGCCCTTTTGAGGCGGTCTTCATGTGCCCCCTTGAAGGTTGACTTGAAACATCACCTTTTGGAGAAGTTCGCGTGAGATTCGATTTAGCGGGGTACTGTTTGAAGATGGCATGTGTGGGTTCCAAACATCCCTCTACTCACACTACGAAATACAGAAGCTTACAGCAGATCACATGTGGATCATCTGCAACCACTGGATCATCTGTTGCTTGTCACGAAATACAGCGAGCGGTTCCCGGTTCCTGAATAAAAGGCGACCATCCTGTGAGCCTTTCGCCGAGGTGGAGAAGAAGGATGCATCTGAGCGGGAGCACCGGAAACGGGGGGGGGGGGGGCGGGGGGATGGGTCAAAACCCGGACCGATACCCTTGTTTGGAGGCCACCCGACTTTTCTCTGGTCCATTTTTGAAAGGGTTTTTCTTGGGGGGGGAGGGGGGGGGGGGGTAGGCGCGGGTTTTGACCCACGGCCATTTGACGTGCTCTGATTCTGTTGCTCTGGCCCAAACAAATCAGTATGCTGATTTTCTTGAACACAGCAAGATCATGTGTATGCAACTTTTCATGTATGCATGGGGGGGGGGGGGGCGTGTCTCAAATTACGGACCCCTTGTCTGGTAGTTTACTGGGAAACCAAAAGGCCTGTTTGTTTTGTTTGTTGCTTGTGTGTTTTCTCGTTTGTTTGTTTGTTTGTTTGCTTGCTTGTTTGCTTGCTTGCTTGTGAATTGTTTGTTTGTTTGTTTGTTTGTTTGTTTGTTTGTTTGCTCGGTTGTTCGTTTGTTTGTTCGTGTGCTTGTGACATATTTTTGTGTGTGTGTGTGTGTGTCTCTCTCTCTCTCTCTGTGTGTGTGTGTGTGTGTGTGTCTGTTCGTCTGTGTGTTTGTGTGTCTGTGTGTCTGTGTGTTTGTGTGTGTGTGTGTGTTGGCGTTGGTGTTGGTGTTGGTGTTGGTGTTTGTGTTTGTCTCTGTGTTTGTGTTTGTGTGTGTGTGCGTGCGTGCGTGTGTGACCTCAAAGGGGGTGGATATGATTCGGGGTCGCCGATGCACTTTCACAACTTCATCCTTTCAAGTCCTAGCATATAGCGAGTCACAAGCAGTTGGGACGCTTTCACACCAGTTGTAGCCCACCCTCTCCGGAGATCTCCAAGCCAATTGTAGCCACTATGGATAGCGGCTGAACCTCTGTGCCACGTTGCTATGCCCCCCTTGGCATCCGCAATCGGACGTCGCACCTCAGCAAAAGCCCAATTCGGCGCCATGCGCGAAAACAAATCAGAACCGAACCAGCCCTATGGAAGCCAACAGGTTGGAACAAAGCTCCATGTTCCACCCGCAGAACGGGCGACGTTAGCAAGGATTCCCATTTTTCATGTTTCAAACAAGAGGTAGATGAGCAACTGTCAACTTTCACCGTCATCTACGGGCAATGGCACTGCGTCCACAGTAAATTGCCCCAAAGTGAAATGGCTTGGTCAAGTTCTTCTGTGGAAATTGCGGAACAAAAAAGTGGTTTTCCCTTTGGCTAGTCTTGAAAAGAGCAACCGCAGCAAGCCCACCGGGTCCCAAAAAGGGGTTCGCGCCCACCGGCGATCTCAGCATTTCTCCGCGAGGAGCAGCAGATTCGCCAGACTTTGCAGATCCGACAGGACGCGCCCAAGCCTCGGACGCGGACAGGAAGTGATCTAGCCTCGGTTGGCAAGAGTTGGCTGACCAAACGAGGTTGTCGCTTGTTGATTGAATTGTGTTGTTGTTTGTTTATTTTTTGTGTTTGTTTGCTTTTTTGTTTGTTTGTTTGTTTGTTTGGTTGGTTGGTTGGTTGGTTGGTTGGTTGGTTGGTTGGTTGTTTGGTTGTTTGGTTGTTTGTTTGTTTGTTTGGTTGTTTGTTTGTTTGTTTGTTTGTTTGTTTTTCTTTGGGGGGGGGCTGGTGAGGGGCGTGACGGCACGATGCTAGGGGCCTTGCTCACGTTGAAGCCAAAAACATAAGAAACTCGATGTGACCAACCTCAAACCTCACTTTGACACCCCAAAAAGCCATTGGTTTCACACCGGACCATACACCAGACTCTTACGAAACTAGCCCCTTTTGCGCGGAACAATTCCCCCCACGTACTGTTTGGGGTGTTGTTTGAGGTATGAGGTGTGCAATGATTGGGCTGCTTTACGCTATCTGTGGCCTATGCTGGTGGATTCTGTTTGTTTGTTTGTTTGTTTGTTTGTTTGCTGGTTTGCTTGTTCGTTTCCTTCGTTGGTTGGTTTCTTTCTTTGCTTGCTGGCTTTGCTCGGACGCAGGCTTCAAATGGCCATGCAGCACAATGAGTCAGCGGAGCCCTCAGAGCCGGTCCGGAAGAGTTGGGTCTGGGTCAACATCCGGATCGATGACCTTTTGTGTTTTGTGAGGTAACCTCCCCTTTTGTTTGGTACATTTTTCAGAAGTGTTTTTTTTTTTCTTGGGGGGGGGGGGAGAAGCACAACCACAGGCTAGAACCGTGTGTGGGTGTGTCGTTTAACAGTTGGTACCCATTTTCGACTTAAAGGAACACAGGGTGGCTTCTTAATATGTGGCTATGAAAGGAACCCGTAGGTAGAAACCTAGTTGTACATCAGGTGCACTGTTTTGCTACGGTTTCACCATGTTGTCAATAATGTTTGGAGCAGAGAAACATAGTTGGGGCTGGAAGCGTGTCTTTCCGCATGATTTTGGGTATGTCCGTTGACTCTTTTGCTCGCTTGCAGATTGGAGCATGGGGATCACTATGACGTCAAAATGCAATCTTCTTTTCGCAATCTCGCAGGCACCGGGTTTCAGGCTCTGCGAATATGCAAGCCGTTTAGAATAAGCAAGCCGTGTTTTCACCAACAGCGCAGCATTTTTTCAGGCAGTCCACATGCAAAAAAGGTGCGGGACTTCCGGCCTTCTTGGGCAATTAGGTGGATGTCGGAGTCAGCAGAATCAGAGCCATGGTCAGCTGGCAGCGAAGAATCTTGCTCGGGCAGCGAACGAATCTTTGCAGCAGACACTCATAGCTCGCCCCGTCATTGCCGGATTGCTCCTGGTTTCGGCTAGGCGCAGTCGGGTCTTTTATGTTTCTTTATGCCCTTTGCCAAGTGGCTGAGGAAGCGAAGTGCCGTGCCTTGGTGCCTCGTGCTACTATTACCGTTACCACTACTATAATTACTATTACAACCACAACAACAACAACAACAACAACTACTACTACTACTACTACCATTGGTACAACTAGTACCCTTCTAGCATTACAAATTCTATTTCCGCTACTTTTATTACGACTACTAGTAGTACCACTACCACTACTACTGCTACAACTACCATTACCATTCCTATTATTACTACTACTACTACTGCTTCTACTTCTACTTCTACTTCTACTTCTACTACTACTACTACGACTACTCTTAGAACTAGTATTACTAGTACTGCTACTGGTACTACTCGCTCTACGTCTGCTACTGCTATTACTACCACTAGTATTGAGGTACTGCCAACCATTACTATGACGAGTGCCACTATTCCTACGACAATTTTAGATTTATTACTACGCTATTGCCGGCAGCTCCTCCCAATATCTCCTCCCGGCAGGTCCTCCCGACAGCTCCTGCCGGCAGCTCCTCCCGGCAGCTCCTCCCGGCAAATGAAGCTTGGCTCGCTAATGCGAGTTTATGACTTGTATACTATTACTATTGAGACTACTACTACTACTACTACTACTACTGTTACTATTACTATTGAGACTACTACTACTACTACTACTACTACTACTACTACTACTACTACTACTACTACTGTGCTACTATTAGTTTTACTTCCACTACTACTACGACTACAAATGCTACTACTATTGTTTCTTCTACATCCTACTGCTACTACTATTACTACTACTACTACTACTACAACAACAACTACTACTACTAGTACATTCATCTCCTCTCGATAGCTCCTGCCGGCTCTCCGGGCTGCTTTTATCGGGACCTCCCGGCAGCTCCCTTCAGCAGCTTTTGCCGGCAGCTCCTTGCCGATTTTAGTGCTTATGTTACTATTACTTCTTTTGGTTCTACTACTACTACTGCTACTATTACTGCTACAATTATTATTGCCAGTCTTACAACGAGTACTACTACTCTGATTATTCGTGCTTCTTTTACCAACTACAACTTTTACTACTACCACTACTACTACGACTACCATTACTACTGCTACTAGCAGTAGATTTAGTAATAATTCTCCCAGCACCTCCTATCGATAGCTCCTGCCGGCAGCTTTTGTCGGGACCTCCCGCAGCTCTTCCCGGCAGCTCCTCCCGGCAGCTTCTGCCGGCAGCTCCTAACTGCTTCTGCTACTATTTCTGCTACAATTACTATTGCAAGTCTTACAACGCTTACTACTACTATTGCTCGTACTACTACTACTACTACTACTACTACTACGACTACTACTACTACTACTACTACTAGTACTATTACAACAACAACTACTACTACTACTGCTACTATTACTACTATAAGTACTACGTCTTACAACGAGTACTACTACTCTGATTATTCGTGCTTCTTTTACCAACTACGAGTGTTACTACTACTACGACTACCATTACTATTGCTACTACCAGTAGATTTAGTAATTCTCCCGGCAGCTCCTCTCGATAGCTCCTGCCGGCAGCTTTTGTCGGGACCTCCCGGCAGCTCTTCCCGGCAGCTCCTCCCGGCAGCTTCTGCCGGCAGCTCCTAACTGCTTCTGCTTTGTTTACAATGCTTCAATACTGATTGCACGTTTTACAACGGGATTTACTACTACTATTTTCTACAACTACTACTTCTACTAGTACTACTACTACTACTACTACTACTACTACTACTACTACTACTACTACTACTACTACTACTACTACTACTACTACTACTACTACTTACTAATACTACTACTACTACTACTACTACTACTACTACTACTACTACTACTACTACTACTTCCACTACTACTACTACTACTACTACTACTACTACTACTACTACTACTACTACTACTACTACTTACTACTCAACTACTACGATTACTACTACTACTACTAACTACTACGACTACTACTACTACTACTAGTACTATTACTATTACTACTCCTACTACTACTACTACTACTACTACTACTATTATTACTACTACGTCTTACAACGAGTGCTACTACTCTCATTACTCGTGCTTCTTTTACCAACTACAACTGTTACTAGTACCACTACTACTACGACTACCATTACTACTGCTACTAGCAGTAGATTTACTACTTCTCCCGGCAGCTCCTATCGATAGCGCCTGCCGGCAGCTTCTCCCGGCAGCTTTTGTCGGGACCTCCCGGCAGCTCTTCCCGGCAGCTCCTCCCGGCAGCTTCTGCCGGCAGCTCCTAACTGCTTCTGCTTCTTTTACTGCTACAATTACTATTGCAAGTCTTACAGCGCTTACTACTACTATTGCTCGTTCTACTACTTCTACTACTACTACTACTACTACGACTACTACTACTACTACTACTACTACTACTACTACTACTACTACTACTACTTCTACAGTAAGACTTTTAGCCTAGACCCTAGACCGTGGACCCAGACCCTAGACCCTAGACCCTGCCCTAGACGCTACTACCAAGACCTACAGCAAGCGCTGAGCAAGTTCTCGCCAGTCTAGTGGACGAAGCGCTGTGAGAGGAGTTTTCGTGACCTGAAGCGCTTCGCCCGTGCCAGGAAAGGTCGAAGGATTCCCAAAATTGGAGGTGTGTAACTTTGGCAGTGAGGCGCTTCGCCCCTGTCCTGTTGGGTTCGTTCCTGGCACTGAGGCGCTTCGCCCGTGCCAGGAAAGGTCGAAGGATTCCCAAAAGTAGAGGTGTGTAATTTTTGGCAGTGAGGCGCTTCGCCCCTGTCCTGTTGGGTTCGTTCCTGGCACTGAGGCGCTTCGCCCGTGCCAGGAAAGGCCGAAGGATTCCCAAAACTAGAGGTGTGTAACTTTCGCCCCTGTCCTGTTGGCAAAAAAAAGGGAGGACAACGCGCGCAGGCCTGATGAAGAGTGTTACGAGGAGCCTTTGTCAGGGAGCTCTCACTGGTTGGCTTTTGATTATTTGTTCTGGGTCCGGCACCACCGTTCTTGTGCAAAGCGGTCTTTGTTTCCCAAACAGTGCGAGATGTTCATGTTCATTTGGTTGCGCAGGCTCACGCAAAGTGCGGGGACAATTTGCTAAGTGACTTCGAGGCTTGCGGTGCCGCGCGAACTCCGGAAAGGTAGGTTCGCGCACCCTTTTGCGGACGGTGCGAACACTCTGTGGTGTATAAAGTTGCTGTCCATGCAGAGATGCTGCGCGCTTGCACAGCGATCCCTTCAGAATCGTCCTAAAGATACCTTGCGCACTGACTGCCTAAAAGGTGCTATACCCGCAGATCCTGCAAAGATCCTTGCGCAATATCTTGCCCAGGACTCTGTACAGGAACATGCATGAACCTCACTTGCAGAAATCTTGAACTTGTTTCCACCAATCTTCTATGGGAGCGCTCGAAAGCTTTTGTTTGAAGACTACATGCAAGACCTTATATGGAGAGTCTGTGTGGTCATTTCTGCACAGCAAGTGTGCGTCTGCTGTGGCTACTTTAATGTCACCTGTGTGCATTTCTGTCAAGCGCCGCGCGACTGCTGCATGTGCTGTGCTGAGGCAGCGGTTCCTTGGTCTTAGCCTCCATCCGAAACTGAAACACTACACTCAAGCTGTGTGTCCCTTAAGTGCAGCGCACTTAAGCCGCCAGAGCCCCCCCCCCCGTCCTGTCGGCGGCCGCCAGGCCAGAGATAAGTGAATGTGACTATACTGAATGTCTGTGAGCTTACGGTGGCGCGGGACGGGGGGAGGGGTCCGTCTCCTTAAGAGCCGCGCGCTTAAGGAGTTTTGAGGGCCTGCCAGCGCAGTGGCTGTGGAAGTTCATCCGCGCGCTTAAGATGGTTTGGTTCGAGCGAGGCAGCGCAGTGGCTATGGACTACCGTCTTCTTAAGAGCCGCGCGTTTAAGAGGGTTTGGGCGGCAGCAGCTGTGGCCATGGACCTCCATATGCTTAAGAGCCGCGCGTTTAACAAGGTTTGGGCAAGGCGTATCCACAGACCCTGCAAATATCCTGTTCTGTAAGCGCTTCAGAAGGCTTCTGTTTGTAGAGCATGAGCGCGACCTTGTGTAGAGACCCTATGCGTGCTGCGCCTTCTTCCATGTGTGGGTTTTGGTTTCAATTTTGACCACTGTTTGGACACCCCCAACTCTCACAAGCATCTTGTGGCGTACGGCGCACGGTGCTGGCAGGGCATGGCGACGCTAGAGGAAGGTGGATTCTACTCATCGGCAACGAGAGAGGACCTGTGCTACACACATGAACTCCTTTGATGTCCTAGCTGGCAGGACCTGCTGGAGAAGCTGAAGGGCGCACATGCCAACACAGACTACACGAGTTGGCTTTACACGCGAACAGGCGACAAAATGCCAGATGGCTCTGAAAGCGGAACTGCAGCGCTATATGCGCTTCCAGCGTCGCCGGAGCGCACGCATGGGCACCGGGCGGTTACGGTGACTGGCATTTGCCCCGCCCCAAGTTGTTTGATAGGAGGGTTACTTCCATATTGCTTGCCAATTCCTAGGTCAGAAAGTTGGCATCTACCTGGCCGCCAAACAATGGCGGTCGTTTGATCTTCTCGAGATCTGTACCATGGCGGCCAACCAGGCTTGCGTGTCTTTGCGTGTGCGTGTTTGTCTCTGCATCGGGTGTGTAAGTTGCAGATGTGCTGAAAGCGGACCCAAAGATCCAGTCCATCTATGGCGTCAACTACATCAGAAACCGGATTTCTCCAAAAGCCACTGAAGATGGCGAGGCGTTTTTTTTTTATCGTTTCAGTCGTTGGCGTCACTGTTCTCTGGATCGGAAATATTTCGGCGCGCGTCCCATTTCTTTGTGGAGTAAAGTCGGGCGGGCGGGTTATTTTCAAGTCGCTTGAAAACCATCAAATCCCAAGGGACACTTCCGTTAATCTTGACCATTTGTCCGAAATCGTCCCTGTCTATCAAACGCCACCTTGCGAGGATATGAAGCTGCATTTCTTCCCGGAAGATGCGGAAGCCCGCGTGATGAAAGCGATCGGATCTCTCAGGAGCCAGATTGCCAGCGTGACACTCATCAGATTGCTCGGGCGTTCGCCGCGCTTGCCAGGAATCCAGCTGTGGAGTTGGTGTTCAACATGCAGAAGAAGGGCAAGCAGCTGATGCCACTAGGGGTGAGCCTTGTGTCTCGGAAAACCGTCCCGCTGAGCCAGAGGACGGTGCTGTGACCCTTTCAAGAGGCTTTGTTTTGCATAGCTCAGCGCTACTTGTTGCCTCCTTTGTGAGTGTTTGAGTTATTCAGGACCCCCAAAAAAGGTTTGTGTAAACTGGGACTGGCGGCGGACAATTTGGTCAACGAGTGCTGCCCAACATGCAACACTGGCTTCGCTGGATTGTCTGCCAACCTGGATTCATGTAAACTAGTGTTGATGAGAGGGTGCGTTGCCTGTGGCTCAGCTCGCAACGACCGCTAGTTTGAGCTTCTACCGGCTCAGTCAAGTGCATCGTGGCAAAGCGCACAGACTTTGCGAGGGGCACTTTACTTGACTTGGCTTCTGAAGCCAAATTTCCTTGACTGAGCCGCTGACCGGACTGGATACACAGTTCCGAGGAGGGGGGGTGATTCCGAAGCATCCTTGAAGTGCTGGCAGGCCTGTACCCGCAAAACTGGGGAGTAATACCTCGTAGCCCTTATTTGGTTGGAATCCAAACAATCAGTTGGGGGTGAGTTTTGGTTTGGTTTCCAGGAGTGTTAAGATCTCGTTCCTTTGAACGGGGAAGCGGAGTAAGCCATGATGTTGAGCACTTTTAAGCCCCATTGAAGCCTTCTAACGTCTCACCCAACTAGAAAGAATGGCCACTCAGCTTCTTTTTTACAATCATTCCTGGGGGAAGCTGTCACTGGCTGTAGTGGCCGTTGCTTGTTTTGCAAGAACACCAAATAAGCAGGAACCATCAAGGGTACAGGTCTGGAGTGGTTGAATAGTGGGATATGCACATTGTTTTGGGAACGTCACTCGGTAGAGTGACTCGTGGTGTGACCAAAAGGCTTTGCGGAGCCTGGGCTGTTGTCATTGGAAATGCAAAAATGACTTGCCTTCTACCAAGCCGTAGCCTGGCAGAGCCGGGGCGGCTCTTTGGATTGGCCAAATTGGCCTTTTACGTGTGGTTGAATTGAAAATGGCTGCTTCTACACTTTTGGGAAAGGGGCCGGAGGTTCAAAGGTGAGGGTCGGGCCGTTTTCCGAATGCCTCGTTCCTTTTAGTTTTTGAAGGGGTTGCGGTGCAAGTTCAATGCGTTTGTGGCGATTTTTAGTGTCTGTCCTCCTTTGCATCTAGTGTGTTGGTCGCCTGTGTAAACGTAACGTGGAACTATTAAAAGTAGAGCCCCGGCGGGTCGGCCTGCGCGGAGCTAGTTTTCTACCCGCGGGTTTTCCGACAAGAAGCAGCCCTGGAACACCACCCTAAAATGGGGTATTGGTGGACATCATCTACATTGGGTAACCACTTCTTGAGATGGCCCCTATTTGAATCCGTAGCCATATGTCAAAGTCCCATTCGCTCCCGGCAGCTTGCTAAAACCTGCCCCGCTGAAAAGCTGATGGTCCCTGTGCCCTTCCCACCTTGGACGTGTGACTGGCATCTGGCCACTGCGCGCTCAAAACCGGTTGGCCATTTTGATCTAGGAATACTTCGGAGTTAGTTGGTTCCCGGTTGCACGGGGTTGTAGTGAGGGTAAACCTTGCTGCTGTGGGTTTCGGGCACCTCCTTTCTCCAGAAAAGGTGACCAACTCCTCACAGAGATAGCCCACTTCGGCATCGGACTGGGTTCCTTCCTGCAACCATGATTCGCAGCTGCAGAAATGGCAAGTGAGCACAGTCCGACAGCTCGGGGGAAATCGAAATGCTAAGGGCGATGGTTAGATAACTCTGACTGCTTCACAGTCTTGGTTCTGCTAAACCCTTTGGGTCTGCTGATCTTTTGGTTCTGCTGACTAGTGCTGCCAGTTCACCCTGAGTTGTTCATCAAGTGATTACTCCCCTCCAAAATGAGCATGGAATCCCAAGCGGGAGGAGAGCACTCTTTCTCACCCACACCACCTGACTTGGAACTCTCCCACGGGCGCTATGCTTGCGGGAGGAATGCCTGACTTTGGGGTTGGGAATGTCAAGGAGGGCCATCTTGTCAGGGAAAGTGCTTGTTTTGAATTTCCGGCACGAAGAACATCCGCAAATCCTCCCACCCCCCAACAAAAACAAAGCCAAACGGGGGGGGGGGACCCAAACAACATTAAAACAAAAACATGTTTCGAATTCAATCTCCACCTTGGGAACCGCGGCCACTCTCCTGTTTCAGGTGCAGCAAGAGCTGCGCAGCTGCCGCGATCAACTGGAGGCGCTGACGCAGAAGGCCCGGGAAAGACGGCTTCGACGTGACGTGCCGCAAGCCACGGCTCTCTGCGTTTTGATGTTTGGTGAGGGTTTGCTCCAAGAGGCCTTTACTAGGTCCCCCAGTGCCTTTTTACCATTTTTTTTGGGGGGAGGGTTCCCCTACTAATAGACTACAGAAACCAGGGTACCCTTATTCCAGCCTCTCTACTGGAGGACCTAGTTTAGATCTCGCGGGGGCCAGATGAGTCCAGAGCAAGCCTCGTGTCTGGCGAGGACCTGTGAGATGTCAACTCCGCAGCTCGCAAAACGTATACCCTCCAACAATCGGCTTGGTGCACAGGCCTCCGTTGGAAGGCTACGTTCCAACTGAGAAGGGGACTGCGCCAGGCCGCACCAAACTGCCCCGGACCCCATCAAACCGCTGAGTATCGTCTACAATCCGAGTCTTGGAACGTCTGATTTCGCATCCGAGACTTGGGTATGGACCCTCCGAGACTTGGGGATCTGACTTCACAATCCGAGTCTTCGGGGGGGTCTGGCGCCAAGCGCCGTGTTTCGCTTTGGAGCGCCAGGTGGCTTCCGCCGAGGCGGCCTTGCTGGCACAGAACAACAAGAACCAGGACCCGAGCGCGAGCGAAGTCTCTCGAGCCTTGTGTGGCCTTTTGGCAATGGCTAAAGAACTCTCCGCGGGCTTTCCGGACACGCAAGAGATGTTCTCTCACTTTTTGAGGGGGCAAGAGAAATCCCCGGTTTGTAGAAGCAGAGTTTATGCTTGGCATTCGAAGTGTACGGACTCAGGGGCCTGTGTGGGCGGCAGGGTACCCTTTTCGGGCTTGGTAAGGGAACCCCAAACGAAGACCAAGCTTGAGGGAAAACCAATTTTTTGAGGGGAAAGCCAATTGGGGAAAGCCATGTTTAAAGGGAAGCCAATTTTTGGGATTCCAAGTCGCCCAACAGCACAGGTCCTGCCGGCCGAAAAAGCGGCTCGCGCAGGTCCTTGTGGAACCCACCGCCTACCACAACAAGCAGGGCATGCACACAAGCGTGTGCGTATATATATATATATATGTCTATATATATATGTATATATATATATATATATGTATATATATATATATTCATAGAGTACATATACAAATGCGGAATAGCCCATAGAGACACTTGTATCCAAATATGAACCTTCTAGACATATGACACATGTATCCAAGTTCACGTAAACATGTACAGATCCTACGCGTGACTCCCATCCCAGGAGCTCCAGGGCAGGCTGAACTTGGCGCAGGCGGATTCCAAGCGCGCGGGTCCCAGTAGGGATTGGCACTCGCCCCCCCCAAACCACTTGCTCAGGTTCGTGTAGAGGGATTACCCCCAAGCCCCTTTGTTGGGTCAAGGGAAATGGGGTTTCTTGCCCGTTGGTGGCTATCCATTCGTATACCTCCTGGTCACCTTGGGTGGGTTTGGGGGTGGTGGACACCATCTTGGATTAAGGGAACCCCGCAGGACAGGCAAAAGAGACACCATCAAAATCATCCCGAAAGAGCAAATAGCTGTGGGTCAAAACCAATGGTACCAATTTGGGATATTTTGGGATAGGTGCACTACCCATTTTAGAACCTATTTTGGTGGCTGGATTGAATCGGATGTTCACTGGGGTACGATTTGGGTTTTGAGAAGCCCATGGCCAAATGGAAGATGTTTCCATTCGGCCTGCATAGGTTATGGCCATTACACGTACAGCAGTTTTCTCAGTTTTAGTTCGAAGGTGAGATTAGTTAATTCCTTCAAAGGTAGTACCACCAGACCCCTGGATCATACCCCTTGAATAGTCATGATACTGATGTGTTCATTAGTTTTGATGATTATAGTATTTTCATGTATTGTAAGTCGGTTTAAGATGATAT